AAAATCAGAAAAACGATCCGAAAATTGCTACGAGCTCATTGAGACTCCATCTCCCTTGCTGAATTCCCCGATTAGTGGTTACGCATTTTAAAAAGCAGTTCCGAACATTAACGGGAGATTCTTGTTGAAGTAGGTTATTTAAGTTAAAGTTAACAAACATATATACTTAGGGTTAAGAGGAAAGTGAGTTATGTAAACCAATTTGGATTTTTCATTGCGAAATGGATGATTTATGGGTTCCCCTCGTTTTATAACATCACAAGGAAGCCAGAGTATTTGTCGGGGCATTTTTAGGATTTTTCTACTATTTATTGCATTTTTTCAAAGATTTTTGCACTAAAAAAGCCAAAATAATTGCCAAATGGACACCTAGCGCGATCTCAGCCCCTCACCTTTCACCCCTTGACAAGTGTGCGTCAGTCAACATGGCCACATCCTTACCTTTTACCCTAAATTATTATTTTATGACTTTTTCTTAGAAAATTCATAACTAAATACACAAAAATCAATAATGTTCCGAAAATTGCTACGAGCTCATTGAGACTTCATCTTCCTCCTGAATTCCCTGTTTCATGGTTACGCTACATTAGTATTTTATTATTATTTATCCTAAATTATTTTTATTATTATTGTTATATTACTTTTTAGCTTGTACATTTGTTAATTATATTTACTCCAAATTTTTATTTTTATTTTTATTTTCCGTGCGAATAGACCATTTCTGGTGCTAATCAGTTTCTCTCTTCTTCAATTTGTTAATGTTTTTTATTTTTTAGGTTTAAGGGATGTTTTCAAACATAAAATGGAAATATACAAGCCATCCATTCTACAACATCAAGAAATAATTATTCAAAGTCTTTCACTATTCAAGTTTTGCTTAAGAAACGTGTAACCAAATCATTTGGGATATGCTAAGTGGGAAAATGTCATTCCCAAGAACCGGTGAAAAGACACATACTCACTTCATGCATGTGTTTTCGTTTACCAAATATTAAGATTGCAGTTGTGCAAAATATCTGTGTCAGTAAAATGTCATTCGTAGCCATCAATTATGTCAGTAATAATTCCACTATATAACATATATTATACATTTATATATAAAACGGTTTAGGACAGCACAAACACCAAACAAAATAGATTAAAACATGAAATAGAAAACAACATTTGTAGAACATAGACACGCATAAAAACCGTAGAAAAATACTACAACTAATTATAAGGGTATGGATTCCTTGGCACAAAATAGACACGCATCACCTTGAACCAAAAAAAACACTCTCACGGTGCCATTTGCATCGATTGCAACAAGTCCAGAAGGCAGGATTGATCTTTTCTTCACTAGGCCAGCTTGGAATAACAAAACACCAATCGTTGTTGTTACAAGCGCTGCACTGATTGAACTTAATCTTCCCATAGTGAAACATATCTACGATATGTCTTCCAACAGAGAAAATTCCGCTTAATCTTCGTCTCAAAGCATCCCTGGTTCCTTTCATATCAATGTTGTTACGTTGATTCAAAGAACACAAGAATTCTAATGCATCCTCTTTTGACTGACCAATTCCGGACATGCCAAGTAGTCCAACTAGATATGCCGCTTCCATATGGCCTGCCGTGGCTGCAACGCTCATCCCAGACAATGGTTCCACATTACCCTGCCTGAAAAACACGTCGAACGCTTCTCTAAATATCGCCTCAGGGTTCTCGTAAGCCCTGCATTGTTCCACGAAATGCCGAACCTGCGTTGAGGCATAGTACCAGTTAGGATGGTCTTGGTACTTTTCCATTGAAATGGTGTTCCACACTTGTGGAGTGTTTGCCAACGTATTGAACAATGGGCACACAGATGCCATACGAAAGAGATCTTCCGATGATTGGGTTGCCACGTATAACATCACTTTAAACCAAGCTAATTCCAGGATGAAGGCTTGAGGCACATCCAGATGGAGATGCTTCCTTCTCTTTCCTCCGACTGTAGTGTAATGTTTCGAATTCATTGAAATATTTTTGGAATGGAACGATTTGAGGACTGCAAGAGGGGAGAAATGAGAATATACGGGGTTTTGGGTTTGTTTTAGCCTCTGTTTGCACTGTTTTGAAAAGGTGTTTCCTTGGGGTTTTTCCAAGTTGACCCTTTTTAAAGAAACTGAACCCAACACCCAAAACATAAGACAGGCGAAGGGAAAACGTCATCGAAATGCAAAGGGAGTCAGACCGTCCCAAAGTCAATTAATAACCTATTTCCATAGCCATTGTTAGGCTTTTCCCGCCATTAAATTCATTGATACAAATGTGATGGATTACTGACTAGTGACAGAAGGTCCCATCATATACTTTTTCATTTTCCCACACCACACTACCCCTAGTAAATGACGGATTCTTATCCAACTAGTTGCCTTAATGAAATATAAAGAAAATAATATATTTAAAGCAGTGTCCCCTCAATTTTAAGATTAATATTTGGTAGTGAAATAGTATATCGCTTTTCGGAGTAAAAGGTGTCACAATTCTGACGGTACAGGTGTCCAGATCGTGACCAACCCACCCACACACAGAAAAGAAGGATATAATTCGATTTGGGCAGAGATGAGAGAGAGCTGAGTGAGAAGTTTAGGGTTATGAGTGAAGGGGTATGACTGAGAAGGTATGAGTCCGAAAAGGTTTCAGTGAGAAGATCTGAGTGAGAAGAGGTACAAGTGATAAGAATCAACATGTCTTCGTCTTCATCTCCCGCTCAAACAAAGAGGTGTCAGTATTGTGGAGCTGCAATGGTGCTTCGGGTTTCAAAATCAGATAAAAATCGAGGGAAGCGATTTTGGAAGTGTCTAACCTCCTATGTAAGTTTTCATTTCCAGAATATGTATGTGGGTGGAAAAAAAAACCTAGGTCTAACTCTGACAGAATTATTTTGCATATATGATGCCTGCAATTAGGGAGCCACAAGTTGCAATGGATTCGAATGGGTTGATGTAACCTCCGCTGAAGCAAATCAGCAAGCTGACACGTATGATGCTACAGTGCTTAATATGCTGAAGTCCATTAAGGACTTGGTATTAGTTTTATTAGTTGTATCAATTGTCATATTATTTGTTCTTTTAATGACCAATTAAGTGCACGGTTTCAAGGATTGTAAAAGTTCTCCCCAAAAACACATGTTGCACGCACCACCAATGACTTTTCAAACCCAATTTGTAATTTTTGTTCTTCAAATAGGTGGATTGGCATTGAGTTTAAATTATTGTTTGAAACAAAAGCATTTATTTGTCTGAAACCCAGTAAAAACTTTCCTAGACTTACTTTAAGAAAATAAAGTCATACGAAGACGATAAAATGATAATACAGGGCCAATACGATGCAATAATAAGACAATACCTTTTTTTTAAGATTGCATAATTATTTAGTGTATATAGATTGTTTATTGATTATTTACTGCATGTAAATCGCATGATATTGAATGTTTATTGAAGGTTTATTAACTGCATGTATTTCGCATGTTATTACTCCGATATTGAGTATTTATTGAAGGTTTATTGATTGTTTACATGTTTAGTGAAGGTTTAATGATTGTTAACTGCATGTATTTCGCATGTTATTGAACCGATATTGAAGGTTTATTGAAAGTTGATTGAGTGTTTACTGCATGTATATTGCATGTTTATTGAGGGCAAAAGTAGGACTCAAGTTAGATTTAAGGGGGGAAACGGTTCATATTCTTTGTTTTAGTAGGAAGAACAACTGTTAAGTAGAATTTCCTATTCAATACGACTTCCTTATGGTTGATGTAATTGGGGGACTGATGTATATTGCATGTCTATTGCGTGTATATTTCATGTCTATTGCATGTATATTGCTTGTTTGTTGCCTGTGTATTGTTATTTATTTCCTTCGTAAGCAATACAAATCAATACAGACGCAATAAATGTAAGATATGCACGCAATACACAAGCAATATAGACCCAACAGACATGCAATATATACGCACCAATATACATTACTTTTATGCTACTCAGCTGCCCAAAACCAATAAAATAAAGAAAATCAACCAATTTATTAACCGATTATAAAGGAGAGAGGGATTCAAACCCGAGGGGCAGTGCGGAACCAATAGGGAGTTTTTAGAGCATTGCACCTGGGGACATTTTTTCATGTGTTTCTATAAAGAGGGCATGGTTGAATAAAATATTGGAGGCGAGGCCATAGCCGCCTATTCCCCTTACAGAATTACCTTATTATGATGCAACCCATTGCGATTAAGTCAAGGCATGTTGAACGGCTTAAAGATTGGGATCTGATATTTGGAATGGTGGCTTGGATAAATGATGACATATCACTTTGCAATGATGTAATACACTTAAAAAGCCATCAGTCCCCATTCACATATGCATTCTTCAAATCCCAATTCACATATGCAGTCTTCAAATCCCAATTCAATGCAGTTTGGTTGAGGTTAGGTAAATGTCGTGAAGGAGTTAGGCCAATATTACACCGATGTTTGTTTCATTACATCAAAAAAAGCTTTACACTCCATATGCACATTCTATGTATGGGAATGGCATGTGTCTAACTTCAAAAACGCATTTGCCTATCCATTTAGATTGCCCACGTGCAATAGATTTACAGATCCATTTACTTTTCTCCTCACCAACCCTCAACATCTCCATTTCAGATTCTTCATTTTTCTATGCTCTGCATCCAGCTCCATATACATTTCGCACAATATGAGAATAAACATAGCGTAATATCACACTAATCGAAATGAAAGCATGCATCCGCTATAATATTTGCCACTATTTTGGTTCTAATTGTTATTGTCCAATAACTTAAATCTAAATTTCTGTACACAAATACACTAAGATTGAGAAAGACGAAGAAGAATTCAGGAGCAGAGGTACAATTTGAAAAGGACCCGTGGGTCTCTATTGTGTATTTACATGACTTTGAAATTGGACATTCCCAAAACCTATTTAATCATCATGTGCCTAAACCAAGTTCAACCGATATCATGGCATGTAAGCATCTCCCCGTGCAATTTCTGCAACCAACTTCAACCGAAAAAATGGCATGTTCTGCGAGGTGCAAGTAGCTAAGGGAATCTCAGCACTCAACAACTCAATGTACTTCAACACGAACATACCACAATCGCCTCTGAAGCAAAACAAGAACTCGATCAATTCAACTAATGACATTCTAACGTAATTGACAAATTAAAGTAATAAAATTAAATAAAAAGTTGTGCTCACTGATTAGCCTGTTGTGGAACATCCACACGATGTATTGGCCACGGACACCACCAATCTCGGGTGCACTCGTTCGCGTAAACACCTTCTTCATAAAAGTCAAGGGTGTTCAGAAGATTTGGAATCGTAATTGACAGGGGGCCGAGTTCTTCCTTTAAGCTCTGATCTGGAATGAGTGAAACCATTGAATCGTAGACTTTGATTTCACACTGAATCAGATCAATCTCTAGAGCCACCCAATGCTTATATTTTGGCAACATACAAGGTACATACACCTTATACGTGTTCTGCCAATCCAATCCACATGCCGGAACCTTGCCATTTACAACGTTCACTAAACTGCTTCTAATTTTCCACCCAACTTGCTCTTTTTTCCTTTTATTATCCGCAAAGCAAGTATGGATGTGATTCTGTGAAATAGAAAACAATCAATGGTTAAACACCTCCACAAAGCAAGTATGGATAATTTGTAATTATTAACTGCACTTGGTCAAGGCCTATGCCATACTGATGTAGCACAGCCCTGGGTGTGTTAGTTTTAACACTTAGAGCACTTCCCCAAAACGAAGCCCTGAGATCAAACGGAAATCTTGACGAGTGAACTGAGCAACGTCGCACCCTATTAAGAAACTCAGTCCATCCAAGTCTTTCACACACCCTGCCCCGCTACCCTACGCAACACAACCTCATGCACAATCTGCCCGCTAAACTGAATCTTATCTATATTCAGAAGATGGCCAAAGCATGAATATGCCTCTGACTCTGGCCATACCAGCTCCACATTGGATCCCATTTCCTGAAATACAAGATGAAATAACGTAAACACATATACTACCACGTATTTGCACAATCACATTGGTATTTACACAACTAGTCAACCAGCACATTACAAATTTTACAAAGTACATGCGCATAGGGATTACTGATCACAGGCTTTAACATCATCAAAGCAATATGACATATTTTGTGCAAATACCTGTTAATGCAATGATTCTGTGAATTACAAGCAATAACATGTGTTTTATTTATGGATCCAAACTCCAATCAATGGTTGATGCATGGGTGAGTGTGAGTGCAATCTAGGCAAGTTCTGCACTTCACACACATGACAATTATTGTCATCTCATACACAACACAAAATAAATAAATAAATAAGAAAGATGGTGGAAGGAAGCAAAGCAAAGCATCTGCTCTGCTATCTGCTCGCTAAGCCATTGCCACATCCTTCTTTCTTTCTAGCTTTTTCTTCAGTCAGCCATAATCGTCATAGATCAACCTTTTTTCAAATGCTTTGCACTTTTATTCATGAGTTTATTATTATATGTTCTCATTTTTAACAGGCAAATTTAGTAACAACGGAAATAATATTTATTTCAAAAATTATATATATTCTAGCGCCAGAGAGATAATCTGCACTCTGCACTGCTTCAAATGTGGAAGGTTTTGAGGGCCTCCTCCAATTCAACACCATTACCTTATTCATATCATTATTGACATGTTATTGACTTTATTTTCATTCGTTTTTTAACATATACCCAAGCAAAAATTAACATGCAAGTGAAGCACAAAGAAGAGATGCCAAATCTAACAACATTCATGATACAAATTGGGGAAAACGGTTATTCTAACCCTAAACTCAAATTCCATAAATTACTCACCAAATGCTGGTTATTGAACAATTGCAAGGTGTCTGTGTTGGGTCTTTGTGCGGCTTTGCTCCACAAATGGAACCTATCACTTCCAACGAATACGGCTTCTCTCCTTCCCCTTCCACTGCTTCGTCTTTTCACTGTTTCAGAATCCACGCCTTTGCTCCTTCCACTCAAAATAAATACTTTTTCACGGTTTAGATAGTGGAGTTGCGTTCAACCGTCGTTAACCTTTGCCTTCAACCGTCGTTGCCCGTTGCCTTCAACCGTTTCTCAGAGCTTAGCGGTTTCTCTGAGCTATGAGTTTGAGATCAATGGGTTTTTTTCTGTTCAAACTTCGAACTTGTCTTTTTTTTTTTTTTTTTTTTTTTTTTTTTTTTTTTTCATTGCTGGATAATTTAATATTCGGGTTAAATTGGGTTGGTTCACCTACCTCGATTGCACAACTTTATCCCAATTCTCCCCAGCCCTTGGATTGATCCAATGACTATAAAGTGAACCCCTTATAACTTACTCCTTATAACTTACCCCTCATTATAGTCTGAGCGCTTATTGATTGTTTTTTTTTTTTTTTTTTTTTTTTTTGGGTTGATCACTGGCAGTCTTGTAATTTATAGGAACTTCAATATCAATTTGTTATATAGTAAATAGATTTTGGGAGTGTTTCTAGAGTGCAATATATGTGGGGTTTTTTATATTATATAAATGCTCTTGTTTTAAGTATATTAGTGAGCTCCCAAAAGTCTATATATATATATATATTATATAAATGCTCTTGTTGTTATTCTACTTTCATCATATACTAAAATTTGGGTTTCTTTGATTGACATTTCGTATGTTCGTTTACAGCTATTCGACCCAACAAAAAAAAAAAAAAAAAAAAAAAAAATAAATCCAGCTATGATAGAGTAAACCAACCCTCTTGTAGAAATCCTCAACCAATTTCATTCCCACATGGTCTTAGGTCTTCAGATTTGATAAGATTTAATTTGTGGATCATAATCGAGAACTAAAAAAGGTAGTGATGAACTACAATTAATCCAAATATTCCCTTAAAACAAAATAATAATCAAAATCTTTTAAAGTTTCGAACATAATACCTCTTTTCCGAAACCGCCCATTCCAAACTGCTTGTGACTCCATAGCCATAAGTAACAGTATACTTGTATGAACGGAAATTGGAGATTCTTGGTTGCATACATAAGAGCAAATCCCTTATAAATAATTAACATAATCACTCCTCCAAATATGATGATTCTCTCCTGAATCTCTTCTAACTCACTGAAATTGATACCCAGGAAACAAATGTGATATCAATACTTTTCTCTTTTTTTTGGTAATAAATGTTGCGATCAAAGTATGCAAAAACTAAACAAAAACGCATGCGTTGCAATATTTAACTTGAATGAATTTGTTACCTGATTTTTGGGTTTTGTTTGGAGTTTAGCCGCTTGAGATGCGATTTCTATCTAGTTTTATGGCCAAAAAGATCACCAAAGAGTTAGAGAGTTCTAAGTTGATGATTAAAACTGATCAATGTTGTGAATATGTCTTTCTGTTTTATAGAGAGAGTGTGTGACTTTATTTTATTTTACTTTTTTGCTCTTTTAATTCTTCAGCTAGTAATTAGGGAATCACATGCTGCACCTGCATCTCTGCAAACTGCCATAAAGGAGACAAGACTACTTTCACCTTTTTTTTTTTCTTTTTTTTTTGGCAAACTACAAACTCAATTAGGGAGTCACATGCTGCATCTCTGCGCTTTAAATAAAAAAACACGCTGCATCTCTGCATCTCTGCACACCTAGTTGCCTAGCGGCAGCTGCTTGCCATCTCTTCTTTTCAGCTTTTGCCTGACAGCTTACTTTCAATATCTCTAAGAGATTCAGATTCTTTGCTTTATTTTTCTTTGTTTGAATGTGCTTGACGACGTTTATCCAACAAGTGTGGTACCTCATTAAGTGAAGTAGTTAATCTTCATCAAACGGGTCTCTTTTCTTATTTGACGGGTAAAACTTTGGATTTTTGTGGGTTTCATCAACTTTTATATCGTTTTCTCATCCAGCCGACCCATGCTTGGATAACAGCCCATCACGTGAGGTTTTTTTAAAAACAAGGGAAACCTGCTGATCTGGTCAACAGGTAAAAAATTTGACTCGCTGCTGATGTGAACAGGGGAACGACTGCACGTTCACGCTCACTCGATGTTCTTCTTCCTCAAACTGATAATCTTTTCTGCAACTTCAAACTTCAAACTGATAATCTTTTCTTCAACTCCTCCTGCAGAAAGTTTCTTCCTCCTCTCTGCAACCTCTCTCTCTTCTTTGTCATCATTGTCAAAAACCCCCTATTCTAGGGTTTGGATTTTGGGGAAAATTTTAGGGTTAGTATTTCGGGTTGATAATAGGAATTGGAAATCCATTTTTCCAGTCACTGCGTTGGCACTCCTCTCATCTACAATCGAGCCCTTCTGAAAGCATTTGGTAATAGTTCCTTGTGAAGGTAAGTCAACACTATGTTTTATTTTATTGTTAATTGAAATTCTGTGGTGATGACTTGGGGCAAGAGGGGAAGTAGGTTTCTCACATTGATGAGATGAAGTGGGTTTCTCATTCTGAAAGTGTCGTGAGGTGAAGTGGGTATCTCACATTCATGGTTGTAATGTTCATGCAATTGCATATCTGTATATGCAATTACTAATCTCCTGTATGCAAATCCAAGTCACTGAATGCAATTACAGTATCTAGTTTAGTTTTCAAATTATGCAAGTGAGGTGATTTCGTGGTAGGTAGGTAGGTTTGACTGTGTTTTTGAATATTTTGTTATGGGGAGTAAAGTGTTCCAAAAGTGTAATGTTAGGGTTGGTTAAGATTTGGATTGGGATTTGAAAAGAGTAAGAATCCCGGCCCAATAGAGAAACGCATGGGTGGGTTGTGTGCGTTATCTGTGCAATGTTATAATCGAGGGCTGATGCACTTGCAAGTAGTGTCGTGCAATTGCATATCAGTGTATGCAATTACTAAGCAACTGTGTGCAAATCCAGGTCCCCGTATTTTTATAATTAAGCAATGTGTGATGTTGTGGTGTTTACCGGGTTTAGGGGGTATTAGGCTTTGGATTAGTATTCAAAATCTCGGCGCTAGAGACAATTGCATGACAGTGTTTTGTAGTTGATTTGTGCAAGTTATGGAAGCTCAAAAAAGGGGATCAGCGAAAGGAAAGCGCAAGGCCGAGAGTAATGTGCAACAATCAAGAGTTGGCCGAGATGCATTTTTTAATTTCATGTAAGTTACACGTACATCTAAAAATTGGAAATGTGGTTGCTTAATATTATGATGGTTTTTTGATTAAAAATAAATGATTTACAGGAAAAAAGAGCGACTTGAAATGGGGAAAGGGGCCAATGCAAAGTTGGACAGTAAGGTGAGAGATGGTTATTGATTGGGTCAATTTATTATTTATTGTATTAAAAAGGCTCTTTTAATGAGAATTTTGTTTTTCAGGTACAAGAAGAGATTGCTAACAAGTGGAGGAAATTGAACCCTACAGAGAAGGCAACATATGGTGCTGCCTTGGAAGGTTCGAGTGGGAAAGTACAAGGTTCGACTGGGCAAGTAGACGACTCAGTGAATGAGATGGGTTTTATCACTGGATGCAGCTTGGACCGATTCCATCGTACGATGGAAAAATTGTCGAATGAGAAGCGGTTAGCAATTAATGCTATTGGGTTCGGTAATATGGCATCATTGTCCTGCACTCGTTTACACCGCCAACTATGCCAATTTTTGATTCAAAGGTTCAATCCTGATACGTCCTCTATAGAACTGCACGGCAATGTGTTTGGAATAGGTGCCGTTGAGTTTGGGCGTGTTATGGGGCTTAAGAACACCGGCGAGGATGTTCAACTGGACTGTGCTGTAGAAGATGAAAATGTGAAACAGTTAGTGAAGAGTTTCGATGGAAATGGCAAGAGAGTATTAGTAAAGGGTTTAGCAGAACAATTGGAAAAGTGCGAACATGTGGATGAGGACTTTAAAGTTCGATTCGTGATGTTTGCACTTGGCACTGTACTTTGCCCCACATCTTCACCATCAGTGATCGGGAACTATTTAACTTTCTTGATGATCCCAGGGAAGATAGAGACCAAGAACTGGGCCGACCATGGATTCAACTTCTTATGTGAAGGTGTTAGGTCGTTCCAAGCGAAGAAAGTTTCATATGTAAATGGGTCACTACTTTTTCTCCAACTATTCTATTTCGATTCAATTCTCCATGGTGGAGTATATGTTGATAAGTCTTTGGATCCCATTGTGTCATGGGACAATAAGTCGGTGTGGAAAATGATTAAATGGGTTAGAAAGCAAGGTGGGTTTGATAGTCCTACCGTTCGGGTTGTTTCAAAGCACCGTCCAACGAATGAAGTGTCCGGAGTCAACGTTGAAAGAATTGTTGAACAAGTTGCTATCAGATTGGCGCCGGTAATACAGGCGGAGGTGAAGCGATCAGTGTTGGAACTCACCGACAAGGTAATGAGTGAAATGAGATCCTTCATGAAAGACGCAAGACAACATCTTCATCCGACACATGAAGATGTAAATGAAACTGAGGACGGGGCATTGAAAATACGAGATCAAGGTGTTGAGAATGTTGTGAAGAAGAAGGGTGAAGAATGTAGCCAATTGAAGGAGAAAGGTGCAGTTGATGAAAAAAATCATTGGACGCCATTACCGGATGGACAGAGTTTCAGTGAACCCGAGGTATGATGAGCGATTAGGAGTTTCAAGATCGAGTTTCTTGTTATCTTTTACATTTATTAAGTATGCATTTATTTACATAGTTGTAAAATACTTAAATTTTTTTTATTCCTAAATGTAATATTTGAATTCCCTTTTCCACAGTTGAAAATTGGCGTGGAAAAGAGGAAGTTCACAAAATCGGCCCGTGGTGATCATAGTGGCATTAAAACACGTCGAACGACCGAAAGGCTTCCAGGGCTTCATTGTAGAGAGCCATGGGTTGACCCTTCAAATGCAAAAGGAAAGGCTGTGCAGAAGACGGTGTCTAAGATTAAAATTGGGCCTTTCAAATTAAAACCCGGGGACTTACAAGACACTGATTTTGAGTTATTTAATTATATTTTTAGGTCTAACAACCTTCCAAGGTATCGCCACTATGCGGACTTACGTGAAGCGGTACGTTCTACACTAAACGCGTGTTATGTAATTACACTTGCTGCATGAAATGCATATAATTTTTCAAAATTCTAAAATGATACTTGAATTCCACAGGAAGAACAACATCGAACTCCAGAAGGGGCCAGGATAAGGGTAGCAAACATCTCTCCTTAGCCATGGTCAGCGCGAATACCATACTGGGCCACTGAAAATGAAAGTAAACTTGTGCGGATACCCCGTGGGCAAGATAGCCCAGATCTACCATTACCTGATGGTGTCACGCATGTAAGTAGCTTCTATTGCATAATTTATTAATACATGAGGGCTTCCGGTGGTCATTGTTGTAATTACATGTGCCGTAATGTAGGTCACTGCTGAAGCTGCAACCGAGCTTTTCGACCTAATTGCTGGGTTGAATGCTGTACTATTTTCAACTGCATCGGAAGCAAGCGTAGAGATTAGGCGCCTACGGCAAGAGATTGTGAGTCAGTTCAACTTCATTTCATACTCATTTCATAAAATTAACAAATATCACGAATGTTATAATCAGATAACAAACCATGGTATTGAACATGAACGATGTTATCTTGTAATAGGAGAAATTGAAGAACACCTCGGGAACAACCATTGCGAGTTCGGGTCTTGTTCAACACGTCGTAGATGATGATGTAGAACATGTAAGTTTGTTACTTCCAACCTCCATTGTAAAGTTCGATGTATAAGATGTTCAATTTTGAAAATTTAAATAATATGTTACATTCTGCAATGCAAACCAGCATCACTTGTGTGAACAACAAATGTGAACAAAATTGTTTATTTATATATGTCAATGTTTCTCTTTATGTAGGAGTTTCGCACAAAATTTAAACATGACATAGGTAGAAAGGGAAAGACCAAACTTGTGATACAAGAAGAGCATGAAGAAGATGAGGAAGAGGAAGAAGAAGAGGAAGAAGAGGAAGAGGAGGAAGAAGAAGAGGAAGAGGAAGAGGAAGAAGAAGAGGAAGAAGAAGAGGAAGATGAAGATGAAGAGGGAGATGACGAGGAAGCTTGGGTGTTATGATTAGGGTTCATTCATAAATTCATTGAGAAGAAAGCTGTGACTATCAGGAAGGACAAAGGCGTGTTTTTTTTGAAATAGGTGCGACTTGACACATGGCCTAAGGGGAAACTGCAACCTACCCTTTTGCACAGTAAGCTTGCCTTTTCTCCTAAACCATTCAGATGCATTTCAACGGCTACGATTGATTCTCATATAAGGATCTCACATAGCTGTTCTCATCTGATACGAGCGCGATTTCTTTTAGCATTGGCTTGTTTGAGTTATTTGGGCTTTTTTTTTGTCAAATTGGTTTGGGCCTTTTTTCTTTATTTTGTGATGGCTTGTTTGAGTCTTTTGGGCTTCATTTCGTTTCTGACCTTGTTTTTCTCAACTTGGGCTAGGCTTTTTGCACTCCAGATGTGTCTTGAGAGAGAGAGAGGAAGAAGGTGGCTTCTATTATAAGTGCTCGAAACCTTAATTTTGTCAAGCCTTCCTCCCCCTTTTCTTCACTTTCTTCCATTTACCTTGTTTGGTGGAATTTCCCTACCCTAAACCCATAGGCACGCAGCTTTTTGGGATTCCAAGGTCCTCAAGCAACTGGACTCCTCCATGTGGGTAAGGCGCCACCCACTTTTGCTTCTTGTTTTCTCATCAAAACTTGAAGAGGAAAGAATGGGTATGGGTGCTAGTCAAAAGGTGATCAGCACATGTGTTTGCTTGGTTTTGATGGTTTTGACAGATATGCTTGATATTTTCCATGATGCTGGGCTGGGCTGGGCTACTGGTATCTTGTTTCTAGCGGCTTGTGAGTTTACTCAAGCTATTGGAAACAACCTATTTGATCAAGGTGTGAGATATTTTGGCTGTTGTGGGATTTTTCCAAGTGTTTTCAAGCCATTGGATATTTTCCTAAGCTATTGGGCCACTCATTCTCTCTCACGCTTACCCATATATTTGGGCTCAAGAAATGAGCTCAAATTTTGGTGCTCCCAAGTAGCCCAAAACTTCCACTTCTTGGCCCATCAATTGACCTCGTGAATGCTCTTAACTATCCATGCCACGACCCACTTTGCAAGCCCCAGGCATTCGCGTGGTTTGGGCCCACTTAAGCTTGTAGCGTGGCATGTTTCTTAAATAAGGATTTTTCACTTGGTGTTGTACTGGGGTGAAAATATATTTGGGCCCAACCTTAGATTTTTTTTTGGGCCTCAACAACATGCGGCACGCTCAATTCAAATTTAAAACGAAGAAATTATGATCTACGAAAGTTCAGTGGCATAATCGTAAATATCACGAAGTTCCAATTTAATTAACAGATCAAATTCCTTTTTCTGGAATTTATCTCTCTCCCCTGGCTCGTGCGACCCTCTCCCCCTTCACGAAATAGACTGGCCTGTTTGGCCGATGTTTTATCCTCCGTTCGACCATAAAACGTTCGTCTCTTCCTCATCTGAACATCCATACCCATATCCACCTTTGAAACTCCAAAATTGGTTGCGATTTTGGACTGGAACCGAGCGAAACCTTAGTTTCCTCGTTGCTTTTGTTTGTGCGATTTTCGGTGATTTTAATGACCAAAATCATCGAACTAGGTATGAAACTTCATCCTCTCATCGTGCTCTACCTGTTTATGTGCTTGGTTTCAGTTAATTTTGAGGTTTTAGAGATCGATTTCTAACCCCCAATTATGCCGATAGTTTCGGCTTCATTCCAGCTAGTTCCAATCAGTTTTTGGCCGTGGTCCAAGAACAAAAAATGCTCCCCTAGTTGTTCTTGATATGTTGGTATAGGTATTGTAGTGTGTTTCGAGAAATTTCTGTCCGCAAATTTCTCAAGACATCCATGTGCTACTGGCGGTGGGTGGCGATGTGTGGGCCATTGTGTGTCGGCCCATTATGTTCTGAAATACTCCCCATGTAGTCCTGAGCATGATTCTATGCTCGGATTTGGAATTGGTTGTCATTTGACTATCAAACAGATATTGCACCTATTATCTGATATCTGGGTTCGATAGGTTCGGACCATGCATCGGTTCCAATTTCAACTATGTTGTTCTCGGTACCTCTAGGATTGTGTAGGAACTTTCATATCAGAAATCGAAGGTCGTGAGCCTCTTGAGCCTTGCGGGCCCGATTGACCAATATGGAAAGTTTGACTGCTTGGTTGACCATGAGTCTTCCGAGACTGCCTCATCCTTTTGGAAGTACTAGAATGATTCTATAAACCTTCTTAAAGGTTGTGCACACTTTGAGACCCGAGAACTAGAGTTTTGAGTTAAGGTTCATTGTTGGGTACGTTTGTTGATTAAGTCTGTTTATTCTCTCAAATAGGTATCACACTTCACGTACTCCAAAGGAATAGTCCTCTCAGAATTCAACTGCATTGGACTTGTTGTGAGTGGACATATGTTTTTAAATGAACATTGTTTTTCAAACATGGAATTACTTGCATAAATGTGATTTGATTGGAAAATTGGTTATTTTGGGTTAATTGAGATTATGGGATTTTATTATCGGGCTAGTTTTGGCTTTTACATTGTGATATGGGATTTCTAGGGATTATTATTATTAAAGTATATGGATTTGGATATATTTTGGGATATGGGATTTATGTGGCTACACATCATTTGTTGTACCTTCCCCTGGTTCGATATGAAAAGGAAGATGGAATTATGGAAAAGGATTAAAGTTGGTCTTTGGGACCCATCAGGGCACACATACTTTTTGAGAGGTGTGTGAGGAAGTTAGTCTACGCGTATGATTGGATTCAGCCACACGTATGATGTAAGTCCCCGTGTGCGTGCTGGGGAGCAAAAGTCCCCCGATTGGACTGCTCATCCTTAGACACACGTATGATGGAAGATCCCGATATGTGGTTGATAATAAACAGTCCCCGAGTTGGATTGTTTCCCCTAGTACATATCTTGTTATGGTGAATGTTTGTGTGTGTCTATATATATATATATATATATATGTGGGTATATGTGGATTTATTTCCATGTTGAGGTTTCTTGGGCATGTACATTGAGAGTACTCTGCACAGGAATGAACATTTGAAATGAATTTCGGAATTGAGATGGGATATTTAGAAACTCGATTCACTTGTTTCAAATAAATAAATAAATCTTCCAGTTCTTGAAGGTGTGGCAACTCTCTTCAGTTTCTCTCTTTTTTTTCTCTTCTACATAGCCGACTGTTGAGACTCTCTCTTCAGCAACTTCAAATTATATTACTAAAAAGACGACTTCAACTTACTGAAATTGTTACCGAGTACAAAATAATATTAGAACAAAGAGCGGAGCCAAGACTTGGCTCCAGCTTAGTGAAATTGTTCAGTACAAATGTTTACCAACATGTATTAAATAGCCAATTCGAAACCTAATTAAAGAACTGAAATTGAATAGAAATGATTATGAATAACTTAAAAGGGAAAATAGGGAAGCTGAGATAAGTATCGCATTGCCCTCGAGTCAATTCGTACTAGCGCATTTTAAAACAAGTATCATATATGACTCCGTTGTATCAGAAGCATACTGAGTAAGGCTCCAATTCGAGCAGTACCCCATGTCAAACAAAGATTTACAACAAAGAATTGTACAACCGTACAAATCCCATCTCTAAAAAATACATGATTTTGTATTGGACCACGGGGGCCTCATTCTCATCTCTCAAAATAGCAAAAAATGAAAGAAATTCTTAGGCCTCTCCCGAAACCCTAAACCCTAAATCCTAAACCCGAAATTATGTTGTTGTACCTAGTTAGAACAACAAAAAGAATTGAAACTTGTAAGCAGCCTGACCAAAAACCCTTATCTTGTAAAAGAAGACCCTAATGACAATGTTGCCATAATAAAATTTAGGGTTTGTCCAATATAGGTCCCTACAATTTTTATTTCCTAGAGCCATTTAATCTCAACTTTTTTTTCTAACTTAAAATTAATAAAAAGCAATAATCTTTGAGAGAGATCAAACAAATGAAGAAAACTCATAAATCCCTTTGAGTTAAGCCCATAATAATAATTAATCAGGGAGAAAGGAAGGATGAACCCTATCTATCGTTGTTACCCTATCTATCATTGATTTAGTAGTAAATATGCATGATCTGGAATTTAATTGTTAACCTATCTATCATTAATTCTAGATTAATTACCCAGTGGGATGAGAGGAAGGATGAAGCCTAGCTGGAACGGACTAAAAGATGAAGCACTCAAATGCAATATGGCTTAGAGGATCAGATGTAGGGAAGTAGAGAGAGATAGAGAGCCCTCCCTAACCACAGGGGAGGGGGGTACTATTAGCATTAGACACCACCGACAGAGTGGATGATTTGAGATTAATAAGTTGGCCAGGATCAAATGTCATGTGATCCGTAGCGCCCGAGTCGATAATCCATGCGGAGTTTTTGGAGGACGTATGAAAAGTAGAAGCTTTGGTGGTGGTGATAGAAGCAGAAGTCCGGGTAGCCGGGGCAGCAGAATTGACTGCATGCTTCTATGAGTCTGCAATAAGATGGAGAATCGTAAGGGTTCCTGACATCGCAGCGGAAGTAAGATGTGATATGAGAAGGTGAGGAATTTGATGTACGAATTTGATGTAGGAATTGGATTTAAGAGGTATGTGTATAAGATTTGAGGGTATGTGTTCAGGGATTTGGATAACAGGATTTGAGGACTTTAGATTTGAGGGATTTGGATTTGGGGAAAATTATGAGGAATTTGATTTAGGGTTTTGGATTTGAATATGAGAAAATTGAGATAAGGGTTTAGAGACAGCCTAGGATCGATTGCTCTGATACCATGCTAAAAAATTAATTTGGTTTGAATGTATTAGGTTGAATATTCTTCTCCATAAGGAGGTATATATAGGAGTTTACATAAGTGCTTTACCAAGAAATAGATACAATAATCAATTAGGATAGTATCTCTTAATTATACAAAGATTTGTCAACTGAATAAAATGGGAAAGTAAATCCCTTAATTAATCAGGGAAATAAATCTCCTTGAAATAAATCCCTTAATTCACAACAACTTGAGAAATAATTCAGTCTTTGTGGGAACGACCTTGTACTTGCCTTCGCCATATTGCATTAACCTTGTGTGTTTGCAAGTTTATTTCCTGAATTTAACTATCTAATTTTCAGGTAGTATAATTATACATCAAGTTTTTGGCGCCGTTGCCAAGGACTGAGTTTAAAGCTTTGTGTTGTGTGATTTTAGCTTTACTTTGGTCGTTATTTCAGTAACTTGTCGTCCCTTTAATCTTTGTGTTATCGTTGTACTTTGTTGTATTTCTTTGATTTATTTTCTTTGATTATTTGTTTCTTTGTTTTCCGGCATCACCTATTATTAACTATCTCTTTTGGTTCGTTGTCTGTAGGTTGCTCTCAAGTATTTGTGTGCTCTGTGTGTGTTAGTTAATGGTCAGCACAAGATCCCAAGGTCAAGAATTAGTGCCCTTTGATCCTGAGATAGAAAAAACGTTCTGAAAGCTCTGTCGCATCAACCAATGAGCATTTGCTACTGATTTAGAGTTTGACACAGAGTCAATGGCAGCCAACACTGGCCCTTGAAAGAGTATTCACAGCCCACAATCTTAGAAAAGCCTTCATGTATCACATTTCCTGAGGAGTGTTTCAAAACTTTTGATAGAGTTGCTGCCAACTCTATGCAATAGGGAGATAACAGATTCACAAGGAAGACTAGTGTGCACAGTGTCGATACAAATCCTGGAGTTGCTTCAGCATCTCAAGTATCCAACTTGGAAAAGAAGCTTGAAATTTTCAGGCAATCAATGACCAGATTTGTTTCTCTTTCCTTTATGTGTGCTATTTGCTCTTATAGTTCTTATTCAACTTGTAGTTGCCCTTTGAGTGATCTTACGTAGGAACAGGCTAATCAAATAAATTCTTTCAGAAGCCACGACATGATCCCTACTCTAAAACATATAACCCAAGATGGAAGAAGCACCCCAACTTCTCATGGATCAACAACAATCCGTCTGAGCAGCGCATTTATCCTCAGCAGAAACCTGCCAATCCGAATAAACCAAGAGAACCAACTTTGATGAAGATTATGACTCAGTTTATTCAACTTAACAACAAATAAACAATAACCTTCAAGCTGGTTATCAAAATTGTCATGCTGCAATCAGAAATTAGAAGTCTAAGTAAGCCAGATTGCAAACATAGTTAATGAGAGGGAGACAGGAAAGTTACTTAGCCAACCTGAAGTAAATCCAAGAGGCTAGGAGCACATTAAGGCCATAAAAACATTGAGGAGTGGCCGAACTTATGAGGCTAGACCTGAAGATGTTTCTAAGGTTGAAATAGAGGGAAAACAAGCCGCTGAAATTGAGTTAGAGGTGGAAGAAATAACCACACTTCAACCACAACGAATGTTAGAGAGGTCCCTACAACAGCTATTGAGTTTACCAAAGAACCTACAGTGGCTGCCTATTCCAAGAAACGAATATATGTGCCTCTCGTTCCTTTTCCTCAAAGACTATAGAAGCACAAGAGATATCAACAAACACTGGATATTCTGGAATTGTTTAGAAAGGTTCAAATAAATATTCCATTGTTGGATGCAGTGAAGCAAATCCCAGCTTATGCTAAGTTCCACAAGGATGTTTGCACAAACAAGCAAAAGTTTGAGAAAGTGATGTTGTTTGAGGAATGCATTGCAATTCTCCTTAAGAAATTGCCACCAAAACTTAAGGATCCAGGGAGTTTTACAATTTCTTACATTATTGGAAATTTACATATTGAAAAGGCTTTAATTGATTTGGGTGCAAGTATTGACTTAATGCCTTATTCTGTATTTCAGCAGCTAGGCATTGGAGATATTAAACCAACTTTTGTGAGCTTGCAACTGGCTGATAGGTCTATGAAATATCCACTTGGAATTGTTGATGATATACTAATCAAAGTGGATCAATTTGTGCTTCCAATGGATTTTATCATCCTTGACATGGAGGAAGATAGAGAAGTTCCCATCATTACGGGACGTCCTTTTATGGTTACTGTTGGCACCATCATTGATGTGAAGAAAGGTTTATTGACCATGACTGTACAAGGCCAAACTGTTGAGTTCAAGATGTTTGAGGCCATTAAGAAGCCCGTGGAGATGAATGAGTGTTTGTGTAGATACCGTTGATACAAATGCACACACCACTTTCCTAGCTAATGTCAACGAGGATGAACTTTTCACATGCATAGCCAAACCGGAGCTAAGGTAGGGTTAAGGGAGAGGGATGGAGGAGTTGACATATTTAATTATTTTATTTTTATTAAGAGATAACAGAGTTAGAGTAGGAATAACTCTGTTAAAGTAGGGTTAAGTGAGAGTAGGAATAACTCTATTAAAGTAGGGTTAAGTGAGATGTCAGGTATCAAAAAATTAAGGAAAGGACAGGGAATGACAGACAAAAACATGAGAAGAATAATTACCTTATCCAAGTTGCTGACTTGGCACCATCTGGTTGGGAAATCTCACTAGGGTGGTGATTTTATGATCATTTTAGAATAAGCACGTCCGAATTAAAACTTAAAAATATTTGAATTTTTTGGAGGATTCTACATCAACTAGTCTTAACTACCACTCAAGTCCAATTTCATCAATAATTATGAGATCACTTTATGTTTTGTTGATTTCATCAACTTACTTTCCTGTAATGGTATTATAGAGACATTCTCCAATACGTATTTAAGTGAAGGATTAGTTACATCTAATCTCGATTGTTGGATTGCATCTAATAAACTGTCAACACATTTAATGAATGCAATCTAACGGCTAAGATTAGAAGTATGTAACCAATCCTTAACATAAAATACTTATTAGAGAATCTTCCTGATATTATATAGGCCAGCTTATTGTTTTTCCTCGCGCCGAATTTATCCTAACCCATTCATTGCAATAAAGTAATATATTTTACTTTTAGGATTCACAGCAACTTGCTCTGCTTTCACTTCTCTGCTATTTCTTGTCTTCTTCAGTATTGAAGTGCATAGTGGAATAGTATAGTCAGGCCTAAAAAAGATTCCATGTAGTATCACTCCAAAACAGAAAAAGGGGTTCTACGGTATACCACTCCAGTTTCTACGTACGTAAAAAGTTAGAAGAGTTGCTAATAAAAATGTCCATGTAATTATTATATTTTAACATAAACCCAATCATTTTTTTAACTCATATTTAAAATAGTAAATTAATCTTAGACCCATAAAATTCATTTAAAATCACCTACAACCATTTCCTTTAGTTTTCTATTTAAAATACTTAATTTTTTCAAATAATACCCGATGACTAGGATCGAACTAAGCAAGTTACGTAATATAACTTAAAATTTGATTTATTATATTTTACGGATTCCAAAACTATCCTTATTTATAAGTTAATGTGTTATGGGGGGGTGTAACTAATGAATTTAGAAATATCTCCAAATAGTAGTAATGGATGTAGGAACTAATTTAGAAACTTATTTGAAATTAAATATTAAATTTCACATTAAAGTATTAGTAATTTATTTTTGACTTAATGGTGTTTTCCTTCTATGAATTACGACTAGTAATATATTTAAAGTATTAATAATTTAAATTCAATATTAAATTTAGGAATTAATGTTGTTCTCTTTTTATGAATTATAAGACCAGTATTCTTTTTATTAATTTTTTTTTATGAATAATAGTGTACATTCTAATTATGTTGAAACATAATTTGATAATCTATTTATTGTTTTGTTTTTAAAACATTTTTTTTAATGAACCTATTTTTTCTCCAAATATTGTACCTATTTTTTTTTATTACTTGTTTTATGAAAAATAATTTGATCATTTTTTATTGTTCGTTTTATGATTTTTTTTAAATGAGCCTATTTTTTCTCTCGAAATAATATACCTTTTTTTTTCTCTCTAATAATGTACCTTTTTTTTTCTCTAAATAATGTACCTTTTTTTTCTCTCAAAATAATGTACCTTTTTTTTCTCTCCAAATAATGCACCTATTTTTCTCTCAAAATAATGCGCCTATTTTTCTCTCAAAATAATGCACCTATTTTTCTCTCAAAATAATGTACCTATTTTACGTTTCTCTAATAATGTACCTAGTAAAACTATTTACCTAGTATAATGAACCTACTTTTTTCTCTAAATTTTGTTCCTTTTTTTTCTCTAATATACGTTGTAAACATTTTACCTAGTATAATGAACTTATTTTTTTTCTTCTAAATAATGTACCTATTTTTAATTTATAAAAAAATGTGCATAAATTTCAATTATACAATGTACCTATTTTCTATAAATTATTGTTGTACCTATTTTTAATTTATGAAAAATGTACGGAAATTTCAATTACAAAGTAATTGACCTATTTTTGTTAATTTTTTTTTGGTAAACAATATACCTATATTTTTATACGTATATATTTATATTTATATTTTTCATATGTACATTATTGGATATGTAATTTACATATTTTTTTAATTTGCATTTTAAGGGGCCATATGTTAGAGGGAATGGCAACCAAAAGAAAAGGGGTGATTGATATGCTATTAATAGGGAGTTTTAATTACAATTATGGCAGTTAATGAAATGCTTGGAATAAATTACATATAAAATATGAAGTCTGATGGCAAGAATGTAAAAACATAGGAATACTACGACCTCTTATATCCTACTGGTCATCTAAGTTTGAAATTGGGTTTTACACATAGATTTATAGAATGATGGATATATGTCTAGGAAATAGAAATTCTAGGGACCTATATTCGACAACCCCTATTTAAAAACGTTGTCATGTAACATAATATTTATTCTAGTATTGTACACTAAATTACAATATTCTATGCCATGTAAGATAATGTTTACTATGTTTTTTCAATCTTTCCTCTCAATTCTTTCTTTCAAATTTCTTGATTTGAAGATTTTTTAGATCAATACATTGGTCATTGCAGTGTAAATTTGTATGTGGGTTTCGGAGATAGTATTTTTTATCAACTATTCCAGTGACGAGTGTCTACTTATTTTCGTAAATAGAAGATGAAATGTTGTTCAATAATATTCAACAAAAAAGAAAAATACTTATACTAATAAAAGCCCATTAGAAAATCTTTCTTTGTCTAAATTAAGGCCCTCTTTAGTTCACGGAAAGGATTTGTTGGGAGTGGCAGGCTCAAGATTCATTTTCATGTGTTCCTTTGTGTAGGAAAGTAAAATAAACTTTGTTTAATTTTCAATTATACCCATATTAGAAATATGAACCAAATTAAATAAAAAAGGATGCATTTACTACTAGATATTGTAATTTTAAATTGTTAATTTGGACAAAATGGTCATGAAAATGTGCATTTAATGTAACAACCCGAACTTTAATTAATATTTAATTTCTAATTTATTAAGGTAAAAGACTATTTGCCCTTGAAATATTTTATTAGGTATAAAAGTTGACTTTTTGACCCAGAAGGAATTTGGAAATTTCAATTGATCACTTCGAAACGAGTCCGTAGACACGTAGGAAGATACGATCAAAATTCATGGAGGGGCAAAACCGTACATTTCAGGAATCATATTTTTTTTTAAATTCTCTCTCTCTCTCTCTCTCTCTCTCTCTCTCTCTCTCTCTCTCTCTCTCTCTCCCGGATCGTGCAGAAACCATCGGCCAAAAGGCCGTTACCAGCTAAACCACCACCACCTAACAGCTTGGCCACCACACCCCGACGCCAGCCACCGCCAAACCCGCCAGAAATCACCGTGAAGATGAGCCGATTTTTTACAGAATTTTCCGGCGTTCGTTCTCGACGTGTGAGGTATGGCTTCTGATATATTTTTCATGCTCTAGTTGATGGTTAGGTAGGATATGATCAAATTCTAGCGTAGGTAACTCAATTTGTAACCCAAAGTTTGGTTGGATTTCGGGTTGAAATTCCAGCCACTTCCAGTTATTTTGGGGCAGGTCCAAGAACAAAAGTGGCTCCAATCGATGTCTTGAACAGCGCGTGGGTACTGTAGCAGAGGGGAATTATGTCTCGATGCGATCCCCTAGTTGTCACTAGCACGTAGGAGTTTTCGGATTCCAATTTGGATATCGTTTGAGTCTCGAATGGATTTTGCCTATCGTACGATTTCCGGGTTTGATATGTTCGGACCATTGGATCAAACTCAAATTCACGTATGTTGTACCTTGTATTTCTAGGATCGTATAGTATTTGACGGATCGTAAATCGGAACCCCAGATACTCCGAAATCACTAACCCTAGGGCTAAATAAATCGTAACCACCCAATCGTGTGATCGTGATCAATCTGACCGTCATATTCAAACCAAACCTACAGGGTAGGTTTAGTAGAGTGTGTTGAACCTATAGGCACTCCCGGATTGTGATCGAAGATCATGGGCCCCGCGGCCTCGGTTAACCAAGCTTAGGCAGTTTGACCCCTCGGTTGACTGTGAGTCTTCCGAGGTAGTTTTATCCTTCGAAAAGTGTTAAAACGACCATGTAAATGAATATTGACCAAAAATTGAGTTATTCAGGTCATACTTGGATTAAAGGATTGTTTTATGGTACCTTATAGAAAATTTATACTTATGTGAGTGTTCATCGGTTTGTAATGGCAGTACTTTCATTGATAAAATTACCATGCACTCTATTATGGAATGAGCATAGATATGTATATATGTAGATTGCTAAATTGAGCATAGTTCTGTTATTTGCTAATTGGAAGTGTATTATAGTATTTGATGGAATCTCTAGGAGAAGTGATTATTTATTTAGTTATTTATTCACTTATTTATTTATTTATCTAGTTAATTATTGCTGCTGAGATAATTATTATAGTATCAGAATGGTGGTTAATCGAAGTTTGACGTGATTAATAAACTAATTAAATATTTAAGTGCATGTCTATAATTAATACATATGCTCAGTGGTAGAAAATGATGAATCATGGACCTTGGTTTTTATCAAAATGTGGTATATACGTTTTAAGTGTAGTTGAGAATCAATTTATTTGAAAGTGATATAAAGGTCAGAAAATGGGTTTGTGGAATAAGGGACAGTTTATGATAAGTTTCGGATACGGTTTTTTAAACCCACCATGGGAGTATCCCCCAGTTGCCTTGAAACAATTTGGTTATTTCTAATGCCCCACGAGTTTCGAGGATGCCTGAACCGTGTGGTGCGAGGATTGCGGCTCGGGTTGACTTGGTGTTTCCCAGGCCTACGAGGATTGCGGCTCGGGTTGACTTGGTGTCTCCGAGGCCCACAAGGATTACGGCTCGGGTTAACTTTGTGTTTCCGAGGCCTACGAGGCCTACCAGGTGTCGGACACGCGCTCAGATTCCAAAGTGGAATTTGGGTCTGGTCCTGTCATTTAATGGTGGAGTTAGTTTCCCTTAGATGTTCTGGGCCGCACGCGCGCTACACTGATGTATTCAACGAGTCTATAGCCTTGGCCGACAGGCCCGGGTAATCTTTGGAATTTCATCGTGATGGGGATAGATCATTGCAATTGTTGGTCTTCAACGAGTTCCTAGTAAACATGAGGCATCAACTATTATGAATTAATTAAGTTAATCATTTAAAAACTAGCTATTTTCGGAAGAATTAAAACTACTTAGTGAAACTAAAACACTAACTAAACGAATTAAATAAAGGGGCTTTACCATATAAGGACAAATAGGAGGGCATTAAGACAAAATTGTCCAACCCTTAAAAAATAGGATAACCCAGTCCAGTCATTGTCCGACATTAACATGAAATAAATTTTATGTCACTCATTGAGAGTGACATTGAACAACTCTCGTGTCACTATCCGACAATGACATAAGAGTTATTTCATGTCACTGTCGGACAATGAGTAGACATGTTTGTCCAATTTTTTAGGGGCTAGACCATTTTAACATTTTGTCTTGTGTGAAGTACTTTTTTTTTTATAATCATTTTATGTTAAATAAATAAACTAAACTAAATAAACAAAACATTAACTAATAAATTAACTAAATAAATTGGACAAAATAAAAATAACTAAATAAATTAAATTATAGTGAGAGAAGCCGATATTGGAGGGCTGGGTCAGATTGAAGGACTAGGTCAGATTGAAGGGCATGGGGGCAGTCGAGTAAAGGCCCAGCCAATTAAAAAGAGTAGTACATGTCCCAAAAACAAACATATTTATACATATTTAAAATGTATGCAAACTGGATATTTGTTGGAGCTAGAAACTCCATCTCTCAGCTGTGGCCCTGCCAATTCTCTTCAATAGGGGTGGAGCGATCCGTTCCAATTCAGTTTCCATCTTACATTTGAATTGAAACTTGTACTATTTAATCGGTGTGATTTGGTCTAGTTTTGGTGAAAAAAATTATGAAACTGGCTGGTTTGGTTTAAACCAATTCCGATGCGGTTTCGGCTTTTTCGATTTCGAACATGATATTTTTTTATTTATTTTACAAATTCCAACTAAAATTTTATTTTTTGGTTTAGAAAGATCCAATTTCATGCAAAGAGAGATGATTGGGCCTAGAAAAGAAAGGTGCTTTGAAATTGGGCTTGGAAACTGGTTTGAACCAATTCAGTCCTGTTTGTTGACTTTTTAGTCAACACGGGTTTTTTTTTCCTTTTTTTTCCATTTGGTGTGGCTTGGTGTTTCATTTTTCGTCTCTAGATGCCCACTCCCACTGTTCAGTTTGTGCCTCTTTTTTCTCTCCTACTTAGTCGACTTTTTTTTCTTTTTTTTTAGATGAAAAGGGATTTCATTCATAATTCAATAGATTCATACAAAGATTAGAATGAGAACAGTAACCTCGTTAAAACTTTCCTAGGAAAACCACATAGGAAAAATCCCAGGGTAGGAAAGAGTACCACTCATGCCATGGACTAACAGAAAAGTCCAAAACATAACCAAACAAAAGACCACTACAATAAACAGGACCAACTACCACACTACTAAAAAACCAACATAAGAGACCCAACAAAGATTGGTTGAGGTGCAGTGTATCTGTAAGTGATGTTTTGATGCATTTTATAAAGTGATGTGAATTACATTTTGTTTGATTCTTTTTAGGTTACAATTCTGACTTTTAGTTCATATATATATTTTTTTAAACTTATTGAAATAAAAAAAATAGCATAAATAAACATAGAGAGTAGAAGATCATATTTTGGTAATTCGCATAGGGCCTCCAAAACCTTAGGACCGCCACTGTAATGGGTCGTGTGTACTATAGGGGGAAAGTATTCTTGCTAGGCCTTGGAATTGGCTTGTAGCTTCTTTTTCTCCTTTTTGGTTTGCTTTTGTAGTCTCAATGTTGTTCCTTCCTGTTTAGTTTTGAATGAATTCCTTGATTACCGACAAAAAAAAAAAAAAAAAAAAAAAAAAAAAAAAAAAAAGACATACAAACTTACCCTAAAAAGAAAAAAACACTACCGTAATGGGTCATTAATTCTGTTAAACGAACCCTAAAATTAATTGAGCACACCTAGTATCAAACTATTTATTGAATTACTAATTTACCCTAATATAAAATGACCAAAAAGAATATTTGAATTGTGAAACAAATGTAATTGTAATAAGTACACCTTATTCTAAAAAAATAAAAAGTACACCCTACTCACCATATTCAACCTAATTGAACTTCTTCTTTTTTGGGGTTTGTATGTTAACCTCAATACTAATTTTAAAAAAATTGAATGATTAGGGAGGGACCAACCATAAAGCCAAGCTGGATTTAAGAGTGCTGCTATTTCTACCCCCTTATCCTATTTTCTTCCCACCCACCATGTAAATTTGAAAAAAATAATCCTATTTTTCCACCCATCTTTATTCCTAAAATACCCTTTCATTGTTAATTCAACCAAAACCCAAACAAACTCAGCAACCTCTTCTTATTCTTCTTCAATCACAATTCTAAATAAATCCCAAAAGACATCCTTTAGTCCCAAGTCCCTACAGCATTCCTTTACTTTCATTGAAAGCATGCTAGCCTTCAACGCCCTGTCAATCCAAAACCCAATAACCTTTTTGAGTTATTCAACCTAAAACCATACCAAACAACAAACCAAAGAAAATAAAGAATCCTTTCATTCATAGGGGTGGTTGTCGAGAGGAGGGATGAGAGAAATAAGGAGAAAAAAGGAGGAGGGGGAGGGTGGATGGGTGCGTGGGGAAGATAAGACAGATAGTAGGGTGAAGAGAGAGAGAGGGGGAAGAGAGAAAAGAAGGAGAGAGGAGGTGGGGTTCGGATGTGTGGTTGGGTGGTGGGGCGGTCAGGGATTCTATACCAATGTTTCGACCAAGTTAGGTCTTTAGATAGAGAGAAATAAAGAGGAAAGGAGGATTTGTCGGCGGCAGGGGGAGGGGTCGCTGCTGGCGGGATAGGATGGCTGACAAGTCGAGTGGGTGGGTGAGGGAGATTTGGTGGTTGTTGGGTTTTTATTTTTTATTTTATTCAATAATTAGTTTTTGTTTTTTTTAGTTATTGAACATGTGTCTAAAAATTAGATAGTCCTTAGAAGTCATTTTACAAATGGATAAATTTGTGAATAAAATTTTGAAAATAAGGTGGGTGGGGAAATAGGACAGGTGGGTGGAAATAGCAGCATTGATTACCAAATGTGTCCAGAGATGGGTAAGTTAAGAATGGATCTTGTACTATGAGACAACCATCACAATGTCTGTGTGATTCATATAGAATTGCAGAATTAATGACAATGAGAATATTTCTTCTGAAAACTTTTCAAACAGAAGGACAAATATGAGTCCTAGACTTGTTACTCCGCATACCAAAAAAGGTTCCAGCCAACCATTTGCATTTGATTCTGAATTTGAATGAGGTTCCAGCCAACCAAGGCCAACAACGCTGCAAATCTAAAGGCGACACTACAGTGTGATTCCCAATTACTCCACTTCACACTGTATTTCAATCCTTGGCCACCAAATGAACATGCTTATGCTTGTTCTCAACTTTAAATCTGGAGCTTGAATTGATCTAGCACCAAACAAGTAATATGATTAAAATAATAATGTAAAGGTGGAGCCAAGATCAATAGATACCATTTAATTGAAAGTACTAAATAAACATTGGATATGTTAGAATTAGGAGGAACGACAAAGAACTTGCAAAACAATAGCTTGATAACACTCGAATGCAGGGAGAACTTTCTTATTGAATTCAAAGAGTTTCAGTTGCTATATAATAGCTTACAAAGTAAACTGAAAGAGAAATAATAGCCCACGATTTACATCCCTAGGATCGTGGTATATGGCTAAGTTTTAAAGAAATAATGCAAAAGACGTGTCCCTCAAGAATAGGGATTATTCACCATTACTTAAAACAAATCCTAGAAAACTAGGAGACCTAACAGCTTCAACATCCTCCCTTAAACTGAATATTGTAAGTAATCAGTTTACACCTGGATATGAGATGACTCCCATCAGCCCACGCAACCTTGTGAACAAATCGAGCTTCAATGGTTTTGTTAGAATATCAGCAACTTGCTCATGGGAAGAGCACTGGACCAAATCCACAACTCCTTCCTTGATAAGATCATGAAGAAAATGAAATTGAATGTCAATATGCTTACTACGACCATGTATCACCGGATTCCTGGAAATTTTAATGGCAGAAACATTATCACAATACACCACTGTAGCCTTGTGTTGAACATGTTTAAGTTCTTGCAAAATCCTCCTCATCCACACTGCTTGAAAAGTGCTTGAGGCTGCAGAGATGAACTCTGCTTCAGTTGTAGAGAGAGAAACCACAGGTTGCTTTCTCGATGACCAAGATATTGCTCCCGAGCCCGTCATGAACATATAACTAGACGTGCTTCTTCTGTCATCTTGATCTCCTGCATAGTCACTGTCTGTATAGCCTACTAGTTCTCCTTTTCCTCCCTTCTTGTAAAACACACCAAAACTGAGTGTTCCTTTCAAATATCGTAGCACCCTTTTTGCTGCCTGCAAGTGAATTTCAGTGGGACGTTCCATGTACCTGCTGATTAAACTCACTATAAACATCAGGTCAGGACGCGTGGCAATCAAGTACATGAGACTCCCCACCATCTGCTTGTAGAGTGTGCTATCAATTCTCACTCCATCTTCATCCTTCATGAGCTTGAAACCAGGAACCACTGGATTTTGCACTGGATTGCACTGATCCATATTAAATCTTTTCAATACTTCCTGAGCATATTTTCGTTGGCTAATGAAAATACCATCTGTCTTTTGCAATACTTCAATGCCAAGAAAATAACTCATTTTCCCAAGATCAGTCATATCAAATTCGATCATCATAGATTGTTTGAACTCTTTGAACATACTTTCATCATTCCCAGTGAATATAAGATCATCAACGTAGAGACAAACAATTAACATACCTCCATTCTTTGTTTTGGTGAACAAAGTATGCTCATATGGACACTTCTTGAACCCTGCTCGTACGAAATACAACTCTATATGACTATACCAAGCTCGGGGAGCTTGCTTAAGACCGTATAAAGCCTTTTTAAGCCTGTACACCTTTTGCTTGTGACCTTGCTGTTCATAACCAGGTGGCTGTGCAACAAACACCTCCTCATTTAACTCTCCATGTAGAAAGGCAGATTTGACGTCTAACTGATAGACCATCCAAGTTTTTTGTGCAGCAAGTGAAAGCACAACTCGTATGGTGTCCAAGAGAGCCACATGTGCAAACACTTCAGCATAGTCGACTCCGTACTGTTGACTATACCCTTTAGCGACTAGCCGAGCCTTGTACTTATCCACTTTGCCATTCTCATTGAGTTTTGTTCTAAAAACCCATTTCACACCAATTGTTTTTCCTCTAGGTGGTAGCTCGGTCAGTTCCCATGTATCATTCCTTTCAATTGCTTGAATTTCTGCATCCATTGCTTGCCTCCATATTTTACTTTTCGCAGCCTCTTCATAGGAAATAGGATCAACATCTATGAATAACGCCAAGTGAGCCAAGTTTACGTCCATGTCGTCCTCCTCCGAGAGTCCTTCACCACTCACATAATCCCTCATCCATCCTGGTGGTCTTTTCATTCGAGCTTCACGGGGTGGGCTTCCACTTGCCAACATAGTAGAAGGAACGCTGTCTGCCACATCGCCTTCAATTACTCCTTCATCCCCAAGAGTTTCTTCAACAACGCTCACTGTAGATTCATCTTCACTGTTACGCTTTTCTGTACCTTCTTCCTCTTCTGGTTTCCATTCAAAATCAGCCAAGATTGCCTCCTCATGACTTTCATCCCAATTCCAGCTTTGATTCTCTTTAAAAACCACATCTCGGCTCACGATAACCTTCTGAGAAACAGGATCAAATAGCCTATAAGCTTTAGACTCTTCACTTACGCCAAAAAATATACATTTGAGGCTCTTGTCATCAAGTTTGATTCTCCTGCTGTCAGGTACATGCACATGAGATATGCATCCAAAAATTCTGAAGTGATCTACAGATGGTTTGTATCCACTCCAAGCTTCTTCAGGAGTTTTGTTCTTCACGGCAAATGTCGGACTTCTATTTAGAACATGCACAGTCCAATTTACTGCCTCGGGCCAAAAAAGCTTTGGAATTTTCTTCTCAGCAAGCATGCTTCGAACCATGTTCATAATAGTTCAATTTTTCCTTTCCGCCACCCCATTTTGTTGGGGAGTGTACGCAGCCGTCAATTGTCTTTGAATCCCATTGACTGTACAGAAATTAATAACTCTTGTGATGTAAATTCACCTCCACGATCAGTGCGAAGACTTCTAATGAACATCCCAGTTTCCTTTTCAACCCTAGCTTTATAGTTCTTAAAGGAAACAAATGCTTCGGACTTTTCAATCAAAAAATATCCCCAAGTTTTTCTACTAAAATCATCGATGAAGGTGATGAAATACCTTTTCTTGTTGGATGAGATGGGATTTATTGGTCCACATATGTCTGCATGCACCAATTGAAGAGTTTCAGAAGCCCTCCATGTGCTTTCTTTTGGAAATGGGTCTCGAGCTTGTCTTCCTACCAAACAGTTTTCACATACATTTACTGGAGCTTTGAACTGAGGCAGCCCCTTAACCATCTTTTTTTCTTGGAGAACTTTGAGACCATTCCAACTGAGATGTCCGTATCGACAATGCCACAATTGAGATTGGTCAGTAGTCATAGACGAAAAACACCTTTGCTCCTTTGGTGAACATCGTGCGAGTATAGTGAACATTCGATTGCACGACATCTCAGTCTCCATGATTAGGCCTTTCTCAGGATGAAAGATCTTGCATTTTCCTTGTTTCATGTGCACAGCAAGGCCCTTTTCTTGTAGCTGACCAATGCTCAGTAGGTTATTCTTTAACTCTGGAACATAGAAAACTCCAGTGATCATTTGCATAATCCCATTTACCTCCATTCAAATATTACCCTTCCCTAGCACAGTGAGAATTGAATCATTCCCCAGCTTCATGGATTCCCTGAAGTTGCTGTCCAAATCAGAAAATATTTCCCTTTTGCAGCACATATGGTTGCTACAACCCGAATCCAAGAACCAAATATGATCTCTATCAGACTTGTCGACATCCACATATGCCATCAGCAGCATCTCTTCACTTGTCTCTGTAAAGTTTGCCCTAGAATCTTTTTCTTTCCTTGGGCACTCCCACTGAAAGTGCCCAAGCTCATGACAGTTGTAACATTCTGTGGTAGATTTATCGTAACCAACCTACCCCTTCCTCTACCTTTTCCACGGTAACCATTGCGACCTCCACCTCTTCCGTGAGTGACTTGCAATGCTTGTTCATCCACAGTATGTCGGCTTATCCGTTGTTCATGCACCAAGAGGCTGCTTTGAAGTTCATCAATGGACAAAGAATCCAAATCATTTGACTCCTCAATGGAGCACACAACATAATCATACTTCGGAGTCATGGATCGCAGGATCTTTTCAATGATTATCACGTCTTCCATTCTTTCTCCATGAATTCTCATCTTGTTGGCTGTGATGAGAGTTCTTCCAAAGTACTCATTCACCGATTCTCCATCCTTCATGTGAAGCATCTCAAACTCTTTGCGAAGAGCTTGCAACTGTGCACGTTTAACTCGTGCTGTGCCTTGATACTTTTGCTTCAACAAATCCCAAATATCTTTTGCAGAATCCTTCTTCAAGATTTTCTCCAAAATTGATCGGTCAATGGCTTGGAACAAATAGTTCTTCGCCTTCAAATCCTTCAGCTTTTGATCATCAATTGTTTTCTTCTGTGCTTCAATGAGATCCGTTCCTTCTATTGCTGCAGGAATCCCAATTTCCACTAGGCTCCAATACTCCTTGGACTGCAGGAAGTTCTCCATAAGCATGCTCCAGTGATCGTAGTGCCCATCAAACCTTGGAATAGCAGGTTGCACAAAACTGTTCTCAGTTGCCATGTCTAAGCTTCTTCACACTCCTGTTTCAGACTTTTTAGTCAAGCCCCGTGGTGGGGCTCTGATACCAAATGTTAGAATTAGGAGGAAAGACAAAGAACTTGCAAAACAATAGCTTGATAACACTCGAATGCAGGGAGAACTTTCTTATTGAATTCAAAGAGTTTCAGTCGCTATATAATAGCTTACAAAGTAAACTGAAAGAGAAATAACAGCCCACGATTTACATCCCTAGGATCGTGGTATATGGCTAAGTTTCAAAGAAATAATGCAAAAGACGTGTCCCTCAAGAATAGGGATTATTCACCATTACTTAAAACAAATCCTAGAAAACTAGGAGACCTAACAGCTTCAACAGGATAGGCAAACCTTGTGATCAAGCAAATCACTGTATCACTGAGTTTGGCTTCATCATCTGTTATGTCCGATTCTTCAATAGCCTTCAGAACAAGTTTTTACCAGTTTCCTCATCTTCACGACTCCATCATTCTGCACCAATGCATACAAAAAGCAGATTTGAGTGTATATATATATATATATATAAACAAAGCTGTTTTGGGTTTCTATAATGGTGTATTAGGATGTTTGGTAGTTAAATAGGGTAAACTTAGTTAATTTTACATTTTGATTTAAATATTAGGGTGTACTTAGATCATAGGGTGTACTAAGTTAATTTTAGGGTTCGTTTAACAGCACTCTTTAACAATAGCAAAGATCTAGAGCCAATTTTAGTAAAAACGCTAGCACTGTTGGTGAATCATATAAGAACGCTCATGTATTTTCTTGTTCTTGCAACGTATTTCCCTGAAAAATTCTATATATTTCTTTGATTTTTGTAAAACGCTCATGTATATATCTTTGATTTTGGTTTTCAAACGTACCTGAAAAAACAATCACATAATCAGTTTGATATGTATAGGACCGAATGATACTAATAACCATCAAGACACACATGATTAATTTATTATCTAATTTAGAAGACACTAAAATTGAATTAAAAGCTTGTGGAACTCATCGACTATTTTATTTTAACTTTTTACACTTCTTATAGAACTCTTTTGTATTTATGTGATTTTGGTCTTGCAACGTACTGCATTGGAAAACAATCACATATTCTGTGATCTTACCTTCATACGTATACCCACCCTAAGGCTTGGACAATCTAAACAATTACATACAACGTAGCAGTCATCACACCTGATTCTGTCACATTTTTTCGTTTTGAAAAGGAAATTAGATTAAAGAAACAAAGCCCCAAGGGCAAGAAGTACAAAGCAAGCCTAACACATGGCCTAGACTAATTTAGGATTTAAAGAAAATCTTTCAAAATCAACTTTCAAAACTTCTTTATTAAGTTTTAAGTTCATTAGTTAGGGTGTCTAGAGTAATTTAGGATTTAAATTAGTTTATAATTCACAACAACTTGAGAATTAATTCAGTCTTTGTGGGAACGACCTTGTACTTGCCTTCGCTATATGCAATAGTATAATATACATCAAGTTTTTGGCGCCGTTGCCGGGGACTGAGTTTAATTCTTGTGTTGTGTGATTTTAGCTTTACTTCGGTCTTATTTCAGTAACTTGTCATCCCTTTAATCTGTGTTATCATTTTACTTTATTGTATTTCTTTGATTTATTTTCTTTGATTATTTGTTTCTTTCTTTGTTTTCTAGCACCACCTATTATTAACATCTCTTTTGGTTTGTTGTCTGTAGGTTGCTCTCAAGTATTTGTGTGCTCTGTGTGATGGTTAGCACAAGATCCCAAGGTCAAGAATTAGTGCCCTTTGATCCTGAGATAGAAAAAACGTTCCAAAGCTTTGTCGCGCATCAACCAACGAGTGTTTGCTACTGATCTAGAGTCTAACACAGAGTCAATGGCAGCCAACTCTAAGTCCTTGAAGGAGTATTCACAACCCACAATCTTAGAAGAGCCTTCATGTATCACATTTCCTTAGGAGTGTTTCAAAACTTTTGATAGAGTTTCTGCCAACTCAATGCAATGGGGAGATAATAGATTCACAAGGAAGACTAGTGTGCACAGTGTCGATACAAATCCTGAAGTTGCTTCAAACTTAATACCTGTCTTTTTCTTTTCCGAACCCGCCCATTCCAAATCCTTATGAATTGTGATGCCATAGAATATATCTTTTCTGAAATGAAATTGGAGGTTCTTGGTTGCATATATAAGAGAAAATCCCTTATAAATGGTTAACATCATGGATCCAAATATTAGCCCCCCTCAAATTTTGCTAACCCACAGAAGTTTATACGATGCACTTCAAATTGGTGGGTGTTGCTGGACTTTATGTTCTTGGTTTCTCTTGGAGCTCTTGCTCCTTTTGCTACGCAGCAAGGTCATCACTCTCTCCTTTATTAGTGATGTTGAGCCTCTTTTCTGCATAATTATAGTGTAAATGTTTTCCCACAATATTAGAAAGGAACAAAAAAATAAGATTAGCAAATTTTTATACACATATATATATATATATGTGTGTGTGTGTGTGTGTTGTACACCCTCAATTCAATTTTCAAATTAAATATTGGATCATTATAGGTTATCTTACCCAATTTTTATGTGTGATAACGAAGGCATCAACCTCATCTTCATTTCTTCTTTAGTAGCATCATCATGCTCTTCATTCACTTCTTCAGCAGCATCATCCTCTTCTTGTACTTTAGTGCTTTTTTATCTATTGTTTAGAGTTAGTATTAAGAGTGTCCTTCTATGACATGGTATTAAGAGTGTACTTCTATCACGTGGTATTAATAGTGTACTTTTATGAAATAGTATTAATAGTTTACTTTTATGACATGGTATTAATAGTTTAGTTCTATGACATGGTATTAAGAATGTACGTCTATGACATGTTATTAACAATGTTTGTTATATCAGCTGCAGATTATTTGAAAGGAAAGAGTACCTTTATCTAGTTGTTCTTTGGATGATGAAGTTTCGCACTCACTTTGTTGTTGAAGACTCCATTTGACAGCCCCTGGTGTCATTTGTTCTCTTCTAAGAATTGGGAGTGAGCAGGTTAGATCTTTGACACACAACCATACTGCACATTTTTTTTGTGGCATATTACGTGTCAATTCATATTATTAGAATAATGCTACGAATTTGCAGCTTGGAGATTTGTGTTCTTACTAGTATTAGGATTAGGCACCATCAAGCTTGGCTGCTCTTTTTTGTCCTTCTTGTTTTTCTTTGCTTATTCTAATCCAAAATACTGTAGTCCAAAACTCTCCTTGAGCCCAATTATATTTCCCCATCTCTTCAAAGGTGTCTATTATGGTTGTATATGTCCAAGCAAGTGTACAACCAGAGTTGGAGAAGAGATTGGTTATGAAAGTGTAGGATTATCAATCTTGTTACATCCATAGGACCTTCTTCTTCTTTTCTTCTTCAAGAGCTAAGTTCAAGCATTTATCAATTGAAGTCTTTGTTATCTTCTTATGACCCATGAAGTATTTCTTCACAAAATGCAAATCCGGCCTTGTTGAGGTTGTTGTACTTGGTAGCTTTTTGCCTCTGTTTGGCAAACCAAAAATTTTCAGCCACATCTTGGTTTTTCATCTCACTGTCACCACCATTAAACTTGAACTTCCTTGTTTTTGTGTCATAGTCTTGTATGAGTCTCACAATGTCATAATTAGACTTCATGCACTCTACCTTTGTTAACCTTTGCTGGATATATGCTTCTATCAATGTCCAGAAGGGTGTCTTCAATAGCAGTGTCAAGACATCGTTCCATTCTTCAAGTCTATCTCTGATGTTGTCAATTGTTGTCGCAAAAGTGAGCATGTTGCTCTTGATTGCACATAGTTTGGGTCATCCCATCTGTTTGGCTTCTTATTTGTTTTTGTTTTGGATGATGACTGTTCACCTACATTAGAAACAACAACATGACAGTCATTAATCAATATGACAATAAAGGAGTAGTGTTAATACCTTATACTGGAACTTTACAGTGGTAGACATGCATTAGAAATAGGATTTCATAGAAAACTAGCTCGTTTTATGACCTTATACTAGAACTTTATAGGGGTAGACATGCATTATAAATAGGATTTCATAGGAATCTAACAGTGTTATTACCCTATACTGGAATTTTACAGTGGTAGACATTCATTAGAATAGGATTTCATAGGGAACAAGCAGTGTTATTACCCTATACTGGAACTTTAACAGTCGTAGACATACTCAAAATAGGATTTCATAGAAATAAGTAGTGTTTTACCCTATACTGGAACTTTACAACTATTAATCAACATGACAGCAAACTAACAGTGATAAAATGGTTATATGATTAAGTATCTCTCTCTTTTTTGAGTTGCTAAAAACCGACTATTTTACAGTGCTATGTAGTCAGTCCAATAGTGAAAATCCAATATAGTTTCAAGATTTTGTCCTAGATTCAAATCTAAAATATTGTTATTACCCTAGACTAGAACTTTACAGTATTAGACATGCATTAGAAAGAGGATTTCATAGGAAACAAGCAGTATTATTTACCCTATACTGGAACTTTATAGTGGTAGACATGCATTAGAAATAGGATTTCATAGGAACAAGAAATGTTATTACCCTATACTGGAATTTTATAGCTATTAATCAACATGACAGTAATTAGCGGTGGTAAGAATGGGTATACAACTAAATATCTCTTTTTTTTTGAGTTGCTGAAAACCGACTATTTTATGGTCCTACGGAGTCAGTCCAATAGTGAAATCCAATATAGTTTCAAGATTTTTCCTTGATTCGAATCTAAAATACTGTCATTACCCTAGACTGGAATTTTATAGTAATTAATCAACATTACAATAAAGGTTTGGTTTGTAAATTTCTTACCCTTGAAGCCTTTTTTTTGTTGAAATTGTTCTATGAAATTTTGTCTTGGTTTTGTAGGTGGAGGTTAGTGTGTGGTGTTTGTTTTTTAAAGTAGATCAAGCTTGGTGGTGGTTATGGAGTTTTGGTTTGCATAGAGGATGAAGAGGTGAAATGAAGTGACGTTTTGCAGAGATGGTTTAATGAAGCTTCGAGATGGTAAAATGTTTGGGCTTTTTTTATAAAATTGGGTTGGGGTTGTTTTGGGGTGCTTATTGAGTTTTTTTGTTTTTTTGTTGTTGTTGGGCTTGATCACATTGGCAGTCCTGTAATTTATAGGAACTTGAATACCAATTTGTTATATAGTAAATAGATTTTGGGTGTGTTTATAAAGTGCAATCTATGTGGGGTTTTTTATATTATATAATGCTCTTATTTTAAGTATATTAGTGAAGCTCCCAAAAGTCTCTATATATATATATTGTATGTTGTTATTCTACTTTCATCATATACTAAAATTTGATCCAACCCTAAAATTGGGTTTTCTTTGATCGAAAATTTCTATGGTGCATCGGCTGTACCGGTACAGCCGATGCTCCAACAGCTGAGATTCCATGTTAAAAAAGCATGGCTGAGATTGAATGACTTAATAACCTGTTGAGCCCTAGTTATTCAACATGTGAGTGGCATGTGAGGAAAGAGAAAGGGAGGTTTGGAGGATGAAGAAGCCGCGCAAGATGAGGCAAGATGAAGAAGATGCGCAGGTTTGGAGAAGAAGACGCCCGCCTCTCTCGCATTGTATTTGGTGGCCAAAAAATCGAAAATTCTAAGAGTCCATCCAATCCTTAGCTCCTCCAGGAACTCTTCTCTTTGCTTGCCCAAATCCAATCCCCTAGCTCCTCTAGGCACTCTGGCTTTCTCTACAACTCTTTTTCCCCTTCTCCTCTGGCGGTGCCCACTGGCGGGGAGCTATAGTGATCCACTCGATAAGATTGGATGACCTCCATTTTTTTTTTTTTTTTTTTTTTTTTTTTTTTTTTTTTTTTTTTTTTTTTTTTTTTTTTTTTTTTTTTTTTTTTTTTTTTTTTTTTTTTTTTTTTTTTTTTTTTTTTTTTTTTTTTTTTTTTTTTTTTTTTTTTTTTTTTTTTTTTTTTTTTTTTTTTTTTTTTTTTTTTTTTTTTTTTTTTTTTTTTTTTTTTTTTTTTTTTTTTTTTTTTTTTTTTTTTTTTTTTTTTTTTTTTTTTTTTTTTTTTTTTTTTTTTTTTTTTTTTTTTTTTTTTTTTTTTTTTTTTTTTTTTTTTTTTTTTTTTTTTTTTTTTTTTTTTTTTTTTTTTTTTTTTTTTTTTTTTTTTTTTTTTTTTTTTTTTTTTTTTTTTTTTTTTTTTTTTTTTTTTGGAGAGTTGGGTTGTGGTATGGATGGTAACGAGCTTTCATGAAGCCCATTGATGAGCCAAGAAATGGAAGTTTTGGGTTGCTTGGGAGCCCCAAAACTCAAGCCTATTTCTTGAGCCCAAATATGTGGGTAAGCATAAGAGAGAGGAAAACAAGTGATCCAATGCCTTAGGAGAACCTCTAGTAGTTTGCTGCAACACTTAAACAAACCCACATCAGTAAAACGCTCCAAATAAAACAAATAGGTTATTTGCCAGCAGCTTGACAAAAAACCCATTGACGCTGGAAATAGTATGCCAATAACCCAATACTGTAAACAAAGCCCAGCCCAGCGCCTTGTAAAAATCTAGCATCGTATTCCACCCTTGTCAAAACTCCAAAATAGTCAACGAGAAGCCATGGCAGGAACCAAAGGAAATCCATGTGTGTAAGAGGAGTACCCATTGGACAAACACTCCCCCCATTCTTTTTTCCTCTGTGAGCTATGTTTTGAAAACCAAGGAAAAAAGCAGGTGGCGCCTCATCCCCATGGGGGAAGTCCAGCCACACAAAAACCTTGGAACCCCAAAGAACCTGTAGCCCAGAATCTCTGGTTAAAGAAAATTCCACCAAAAAGGGTGAATGAAAAGAAGCAAAGGAAAAGTGGGAATGAAGGATTGACAGAATTATGGTTCTAAGTGCCTATAAAATGGAGCTTCCTCTACCCAGCAAAAATCATCATCCAGAGTGCGACCAAGCTTTGTCAAGCAACTGGAAATTCACTCAAACCACATCTAGAGAGCAAGCTTCCTCTCTTACTTCCAAAACTCTGCAATTTCGTGCTCTATTCCTCCATCTCCTCCCATTTTCTCTTATGTTAAAAGTTCCAAAGCTTGACAGATTTTTCATCAAGCTGCCGGAAACTACTCAACACACCCATTATACCCCCATCTCTCTCCCTCTTCAACAAACCCTCTTAGAATCCATTCCCCTTTGTCTTAAAACCCTTGTTTTTCATAAGAACTCACAGTTTTCTCTCTGTTTATGCTAAACTCATATGGTTTTGCTCCCATGCCACAAGCTTCTCATGCCAAGCTAAGAATTTATCTGTAAGCACTAAGAATCTATTTGTAAGCAGCCATTATTTTTGTTGGTGAAGGTAACCAAGGTGTTTCCTAAGGCTCTACTGTCCTTTCGAAGCATCATTGGGGCTTGATTTCTGAACTTAGACTCAGGTGGTAATTTCACCTATTCTCTTTTCAGCAACCTAAGCCCATTCGTCAGACTGCTGTAATAAAAAGACTCCAACAATTCCAAATCAGCCAACACTTTCATTCCATCTAGCCAACACAAAATCAGCCTACTCCAAGACCAACTGCCAAAGCTCCAGCCAACTCCTCCTTCATTCTCCCAGCCAAGTCGAAATTGGCCTATCACATATATATAATATTATAATATATATATATGTATAATATGATATATGATATCATAAAGTTGGCATTCCGCCGACTTTCACTACTACAAAAAAGTTAATAGACAACGGTTTTTAGCCGTTGTAGAAAGTCTTGTAAAACCGTTGACGTTAGCAGTGTCGTCTTTTCTATATATTTATGACAACGGTCAAGAACCGTTGTAATATGTCACTTTCAACAACGGTTTTTAAGAAAAACCGTTGTGAATTCTCATATATAAAATAGGTATACAAGAGTGACTGTTGTAATATGACCATTTCAACAACGGTTATTCTTAAAACCGTTGTAATTTGGCACTTTCAACAACAGTTGTCAATGGTAACCGTTGTGGTTTATCACCTTCCACAACGGTTCTTACTTAAAACTGTTGTGATTTATCACCTTCCACAACAGTTCTTACTTAAAACTGTTGTGGTTTATCACATTCTACAACGGTTGTTATAAAAAATCACTGTTGAAAATAGCATTAGATAATGAATCTTTGGAAAACCCACAAAATTACAAAAATTCCTAAGGAATCATTCACTATGAAAATTAATGGAAATTCACACTAATAATTTATACCACTATCAATTTACAATTAGAATTCAATGTATGTACATTACAACAATTTTCACAATAAAAAATTGTGTTTATCTTGTTCCATAACTTCATCGCTCTACATAATGGTCACAAAACTTGCTCACTCATGCCTGACTTCATCCATCTGCTCGTGTGTTGACAAACCTGCTCCCAGCAAGCCTTCAAGAATTTTAGGACTCAAGCTGCTTGAAAATAGAGGCTGTAGCAGAAGTGAAAACCATTATGGATTAATAGAATAGATATATATATATTTATTTATTTATTGTGGCCTGTTGGTTTTTCTTTCCACTGTTGTCTGTTACAAAAATGGATTATAGAATAGATATATATTTGTGTTAGCAATAACTAATAAATGATATAGGATTGTTTTCAAATATAAGTGCCCACAAAACATGAGTTTAGCTTGTGGACCAGCCAACGTAAGGAAATTCTAACCTGAAACTTTCGTTTTCTTGAGTTGTGCAGCCACCTTCACTGCTTCAGCTTCTTCCCTCTCCTCCTTCCTATCGGCTTGACTTCCAGCAAACTTCTTCCTTAAGGACTCCACTTCTTCATCTTTTTGTGTCCAAGTACAAACTTTCACTAAATTAGAATCTACAAATAGGCAAGTGATGCAGCAATCATATCATGCAGGATAGAGAGTCCAACATTGAAAGACATACCAATATTCCTTGAACAATGGCTCTGGTTTCCCAATCTTGTGACCAACAGGTACAATCTCCCAAGGTCGTCTTTTCCTACCAATATCTCCTTTATTATCACAGAGTGATTTGTGTGTCTCAGGAGGTAAATTAAGTTGCTTAAATACCTTGAATGCAGTTAAAGAAAACAAAATCAGCACTGATGATTATAGTAATATCACATGATCAGAAAAATATTTCAGAGTAACTCAAAACTCGATTCATAAAGTTCACCAAATTATCCAGCAATTCGCTGTTCAGTTTTGATTGCAATTCGCTGTTCAGTTTTGCTTATATAGAAAGAAGGATATGAATTACAAACCATCACCAAAAAAAATAAAAAAGAGTCAAAAGGAAGATGGGAATCATTAAAGTTACCTCAGGCATATTAGTTAGCAAGTAATATCACCATACTTCAACAGGAATATTGTATCTTTTACATCATTTCCAAAAACCTCTATGCCTTTACTCTTAGAAAACTTTCCTGTGAAAACCATCAAAATTTAGATCACATAGTACATAGAAGTGCACAAAGGCGAAAACTTTGAGCTTTTATAAATAAGGTCTTCTAAAATTATGCATCCATGATTTAATTAAGAGATATTTAGTGATATACCCATTCTTAGTACTAATATTATAGATAAACCCTCCATCATTGAATTTCTATAAACAAACCCAAAAAAAACCCCAAAAATGATAGCTTGCCTTATTGAATTTAATATTGATTATTAAATTATTTTAATGCCCTATTGAGTGTTTTGGGTATTTTTATGAGATTTTGAGGTTGGGCTTGTTTTAAGAAATTTATGGTAGTTTTGTAATTTATAAGAAGTTAAAGCCTCTTTGTTATGTTGTAAATGAGTTTTGGGTGTGTTTATAAAGTTCATTTCATATGGGGTATTTTTATAATTTGGGCTCCCATATTGGGTATATTAGTGAATCTCCCTTTAATTAATGATCATAACCATCCAAATTTAAATCATGCACAATTAATGGTCATAACTAGATTGTAGCAAAAGCATTACTAGATAGTTAACCAACCTGCTTCGTAGTTTAACTATGGTGCTGGTGGAAATTTTCAAGAACTTCAAATTGGCATACCTCTCAAACCTGATGTGTTGTAGTTCCCCATCTCATTTCCCATGATCAACTAACCAAATCCTGCAGTTTAAGCAATGCAGAGATTCAAAATTTAAGTCTTTCGGATAGCGATAAGTACATTCAAAAACTGAGTCTAAATTCTGATACCATGGGATTATGCATTCACATGCAAACAGCTATAAACATTTAAAAAGAGCTTTCTTTCTCTTAAGCTGCCAGGTGTTGTACTTGATTAAAATGGGCACTGCTTCACTTATTTTTCTTGAAGCAAAAGCTTCACTTGGGTCATCTGTCAGATAAACTGATCTGTCAGTACTATAAAAGCTGTGCAACATCTAGCTTCTCATCCTCTTTTCATTTTTAGCCGACATTGACATTCTTTAGCCATGAATTTTAAACTTAGAAAGCATCCATACATTGCTAACGAACCCATACCATAAACTAAAATACAAATCAGCAAAAGAAGTAACTTAAAATAATGAACCCATTCCAGTAGCTAACGAACCCATACCATAAACTAAATACAAAATCAGCAAAATAAGTAACTTAAAATAATGAACCCATACCAGTAGCTAACGAACCCATACCATAATGGGTAGAAAATAGCAAAAGAAGTAACTTAAAATACAGAGAAAATAAGAGAAGCCCATACCATAAGCTAAAATACAAAATCAAAAAGGACCCCAAATAGATTAGATCCATTATGTTGTTTTCATAGTTTAGATTTCAAAGCAAACGAACTAAAATTCCCAAAATAGTTGAAGAAACACACCTATTTGCAGTAGCAGAAGTAAGAATTCGATTACGGTGATGTGGCCTGAACCAGATCAAGAAAGATTTCATAAATCAGTGGTTCGTCCTATTTGTGTTTATAATTTTGGAAGAGAAGAGAAAGTCACAGATCTAGGGTTTGTAATGGAAGAGAGGCTTATGTAAGTTGTGAACACTTGGGAAAATTTCCAATAAGACAAGTTCCAGATCTCCTTTGGAGACATAGGATATGAAAGAAGCGGAAAAACAAGAGCAGGAAGAGAAGGGTAAGTGTTCGTGGCAAGAGATCTAGAAAGTGGTGCAGACAAGAGAGGGAGATGATGGGAAGAGAGAAAGAAGAAGGCTACAGACAGTTCGCGAATTTGGGGATTAAAGTTGAAAGCCTTCAACTATTTGGGGACCAAACTTGTGAAATTATAGGAGATAATGAACTCGTGAAATTATAGGAGATGAGGGTTTGAGGAGAGGAAGGGATCTGACGAGGGAGGGAGGAGATTAATACCCAAATCAGTAACCCTAAAATTATGTTACTAACCTTTGTTGACTGAAGTAGAAGGAGGAAGGAGAGAGAAAGAGACGGGAGAGGGAGGAGAGGGAGACGCGAGAGACAGAGACGAATCGAACGGAGAGGGGAGTGATGGTGAGACAGAAAACAACGGGGTACAGCGTGAGAGTGGTGGGAAGAACAAGAGAGAATGAGAACTATCGGGTCTTGAGAAAAAATATTGAGTCACTGTTCACTCCGTGTTTTTTTTAAAGCTTCAATGACAACGGTTGCAACAAAAACCGTTATGGAAAGTTGTGAAATAAAATCAGAAAATCACACACCCTAATCCCCAACGCTTATAAACCCCTTTTAACAATGGTTACATAATAATCATTGGGGAAGAAACAACTACAACGGTTTTGAAGCCAGCCGTTGTGTATTAAGCGTTGTCTTTTTGAATATTTGTAGTAGTGTTTTCAATTAAAAAAAAATATATATATATATATATATGAATTGTACACAAGCTACAGACCAACATTACTCTGCATAAAGTTGGCATTCCGCCAGCCAACTTTTCAACCAAAGGACGTGGGCCAATCTTCGCCTTGCATTCCTTCAAAAAAATATTTATGGTCTATTCCTACACTCACAACTCCAAAACTCCAGCCAACTATTCATTTATGGAAACTCAACCATCTTGGTAAAAGCTAAACTCAAGTAAGCAATTTTTCTTTCACTATTCCAGCTGCCATTCAATTTATTCATTATTTGATTATTGCTAAATAACAATATCTTTGTTTTGGCTAGGCCTTTGAGTTTCCACTTGACTTGATTTTTATTGAGACCACTTGGCTTGGCTTGAATTTGGGGACCACATCCAAACAAATATACAACTTGAAACCCAACTAACAAGGAATTACAGATGAGGAGGACCCAAATCCCTGCATCAACCAGTGCTCTTACTTAGTTATAACAACCAGTGCTCTTACTTAGTATTGTACAAACAACACTTATAACAAAAATTTTACCAAACACCAAACTGCTTTCTCTCACAGCAAATCTGAAAACGATTATTTTCACAGCACAGTAATACCAAACTGGGCGTTAATCCATGATCAGTAATTAAGGACTTAATTAGCAGGAAGCAATGCGGACACTACGCAGCACAACAATCTCCACGGTTAGCCCTGGCCCGATCCCAATCAGAACACCCCATTCCAGCCCTTCACCAGTCGTGGCTTTTCCTTCCTCCATTGACTTCTTCCTCATCTCATCGAGAATAAACAAAACAGATGGAGATCCCATGTTCCCATACTCCCTCAATACGTGCCTGGTTGCTCTCAGCTTCCCCTCATTCAGACCCAGTTTTTCTTCAACCTTGTCTAAAATGGCCGGTCCACCTGGGTGGATGCTATAGAACAACGAGTTCCAATCATTATTTATCCCATCAATTTCGCTAAACCCTTTTGCCAAAAGCTCCTCAATGTTTGCACCAACCAACTTTGGCACATCTGGTGAAAGATAATACTCAAAACCCATTTCACGCAAGTGTGCCACCACACTATGCTCCGAGTATGGGACAATAGTCTCTCTCGTTGAAATAATCTCAAACACCTGGCGTTCGTTAATTTTGGGGTCAGGATTAGCACCAACAATTAAAGCGGACGCACCATCTGAAAACAAAGCCTGTCCTACCAAAACATCCAGATGGCTCTCAGTGGGTGCTTGAAAAAACATAGTTTTGATCTCACAGCACACCACCAGAACGCGTGCGCCGGGGTTGTTTTCTGCGACGTCCTTGGCAAGACGTAGGACAGTCCCACCAGCGAAGCAGCCTTGTTGGTAGATCATGAATCTGTTGACAGAGGGGTCAAGGCCGAGGAGCTTGACGAGTTGAAAGTCGGCTCCAGGCATGTCGACGCAGGAAGCTGTGCAGAAGATGAGATGGGTGATTTTTGAAATGGGTTGGCCCCACTCTTTGATGGCCTTCAATGCCGCTTCCTTGCCAAGCTTGGGTACCTCTGGAATCAACATGTCCTGACGTGGATCGAGTGAGGGTGCCTTGTAGCTACATATGTTTGGGTTTGCCTTTAGGATCTCTTCCGTGATATATAGATAACGCTTCTTTGTCTTTGATTTTTCACCTGTTAATTACCAAATTTCATAAAAGTATCCACAGTTCTCCTTCCACTTAATTTTACTAACTTGGCTCTTTTCGTCAAATTTATTACCCTACTCTAGTGACCCCACTTTTTCAAAAATGAAAGAAGAAAAATCTGTACCCTAATGCCACTTGAGATATTTTGTGATTGCCTTTTCATGGTATTATTCACTCATGTTATAACATGTGTATTTAATCTATTCATAAAAAATAATAATGTATCATGTGTTCATGAAATATTAACTTTGTTATCAACTCATAGTTTAACACATGAATTAGCCGCACCACGCGATTGTATAGGGGTCATAACTAAATATATTTCTCCCAACTTTATCATTTTCAGATGGGTTAACTTACTGCATGATATTTGGAAGAGGTCCCAAATTTAAATGCCCCACAAATTAATAAATCATAAACCATTTAGTGCAGGATATAATTATATTAAGTAGTATGAATTAATACATTAATTTTATGCATGCATATATGTGTTGTACAAAGAGTACCACTTACATATGCGCTTGAACCTATCTTTCAATTCTGTCATGTGGTCGCTATTGGTGACTCGGAATAGGAAATCAGGATAATCTTGTTGGTAGTAACAGTTGGCTGGGTTTGCCGTCCCAATGGCTAGTATTGCCGCCGGACTCTTGGCTTCGATCTTACTCATAGACATCGCTGACCGTATATAATTAATGTATATAATTAATGGGTTCAAAACTGGAAACAAAAAGGCTAAGGGTCGTTTGAAGGTTGCAAAATAAGATGAAAGCAGTAGCTCATTCCTTGTAAGTTATATAGATAATAGATGACAAATCTGAGATTTTATATTGTCAAGTGGGGGCGCTAGGGTAGACCGAATGGTAGATACACAATTATTTCAACCTAACATTTGGATTCGTATTATTAGTAGGGGCCCTAGGGCAAAAATAATGCATCCAACTACCTCAACCAAAAAAGCAGCATCCAATTAATGATGTTCTTGGAATATTGATACAAAATAAATTAGGTGTTAAAAAATATTTAATATGTGAATATGATCTATTACGACAAAGACTCATCGTCACAATCATGGTGATTATTCAAAAACTGTAACATCCCTGATACAATTTAATCCATTTAATCAAATTTAATTCTTTTGTGAAATTTCAATTTTGCCCTTGGGAGTAGGGGTACTTTGGTCACTTTAAGATTTTTTTTTATTTTTTTTATTTTTGTATAGCATTACGTAATGATGTAAGTTTGTGTTATCTTATGTGAGGCCCCAATTTAAAGTTAGCACAAGACCCTCAAAATCTCAAGACCGACCTTGATTATTAGGAGGAACCAGATTTAATGGATACCAATATCTTTTACATTACCTTAAATGCTTGTCATAATACATGTGGTAGTGTTTTGGGGGTGGTCAAAATTGACCCAATTCACCAAGAGTAATTAATGCCAGCGGCCGATAGGAGAAACCTCATAAGGAAAGCCATCTAAATGGCTTTAAAAGAAAGTTGCTGGAATCCACACCCATATATTTATATAAATAAACATATTTATGTATGTGTGTGTTTGGTCCTGGTTGAAATTTGACCGGGTCAGGCTAAAGATTCGACAATTAAACTAATAGTGAGTCCAAACTATATTTCGGTGGGCCTAATAATAAGGATAGAAGCCCAAAATCATAAATGTAGCAGAATATCTACATGTGGTGGAATACACCAATCTGGCCGAACACATCAATATGGCTGAGAGCATAAAAGTGGTCGAAAGCCTGTATGCGACCGAGAGCATAGAATCAGTTAATGCTTAATTAAGGAGAGAGATAATCGGTAGGAGGATTTTCTCATATGTTACAATTCAAATATGGAAGGAATTATGCCAGCTTGATGGTCAATTGAAGTTATTGTTGGGAGAGCTCGAGATGGAAAGAAAATCAAATCAAATATTATTGTTCACATTAAATCACATGCATGAGACAAGGGATTGAAGATATTATGGAGCAATTATAATTGATGACCAACCAAATTGAGACGCACCAAAGGCCCTATAAATACCATGCTTATGGAAGAGAGAAAGGGCCCCCGACACAACACACAATTTGTCATTTTACATTCTCTTCAATTTCTATCCTCGGAGTAGCATAAGTAGCCATAACCTAGTTCTTAATTTTTCCACTCTAGTTTCCATAGATTTCAATTATGCCTTTACATTCTTGTTCTTGTTTTTCAATTATATTTTAATTACAATAATTTCAATTCACGTTATCTTTACTGTTCTTCGTAATCTAGTTTACTTTCCGCCCTTTACTTTACGCACTCGCATTTCAATTATTTAATTATGCAATTTACATTACGCACTTGTCTTTATATTCTTTAATTTACACAATTTACATTACACACTCGTCTTTACATTCTTTAATTCACGCACTTGTCTTTACATTCTTTATTTTACACACTTTACTTTCCACACCTGTCTTTCAATTATATTTAAATTCAAGCACCTTTTATTTTACGCACGTGTTCTTCGTTCCATTATATTTCACTTTCAATCTTCATCTCCACCCACTCCACATCATTTGGTTGCTCACATAAGCCTTGACTCCGAGTTAGTGAAAGAACATAGGCCTTGAGGAGGTTCCTTGCTCGGCCGAACAATCATTTGATTAAAGTCAGATTTCGGATGCATCATCTACTTACATTCCATTCAAGCCTAATTCATAGCTTGGTGGTGGCACGCCCCGTACTCAATTAAAGAAGGATAAAAAACTCCTTCAATCGGCCTACCCGGACGAAAAGAGGGAAACATAATTTGGCACGCCTGGTGGGATACACTCTATGAGCGACCGAAAGGAATGGCAACATTCCTATTAGCCGATGAACTACAACGGTTATGATTCTTATGGCTCAAATAGGGAATCCATCGGCCAATACAATGGTCCATATAATTGTACCCATAAAGGTGGGCCTAACAACCAATATAATTTTATCCATTGGCCAATTTGGTGGCCTATATGGTGGGCACATCTATATTGGCGGATATGATCTTATGAACCAAAATGGTTTGAATGATCAAAGTGGCTTTGGTAGCCAAACCAATCAAGGTGGCTATAGTGACCAGTACAATTCTACACATCAATATGGCTCTGGTAGCCAATTCAATGGCCAACCTGGCAGAAACAACAATCATGGCCAACATAATATGATATATCAAAATTATGCGAATGGCCAACATGGCTATAATGGCCAGTACAATCAAGTGGCTGGAGGGCAATACACTTACCCAGATGGCCAAAATAATCTGTCCAATATTTGTTATTAGCCTAGTTATGGCTCCCACCAAACAAATCATCTCCTAATGGCTATAATGGCCAAAATGTTCTTAGCGTAAGTGAAAGGCCACATGTTGACCGGATGGACAAAGAACAACAAAATTTCATAAAGGAAATATCTAAAGTGAAAGATATGGTGGACGAGTTTCATGCTTCCAATGAACTCACTACTACAAAAAGTGAAAAAGACGACCAGAAAAAGACGACAGTAGAAGAAAAAACCGTCGTTGTATTTAAAAAGACGACGGTAACAAAAAACTGTCGTGGATAAGTGACTCAAACAACTAAAAACCGGAGGTACTGTTGAATATTTTTTTATAACGACGCACACAAGTAAAAAAGCGTCGTCTTATTAAAAAGGTTTTCTTCAGAGTTAAAATCTGACCAAAAAACAACGACGGCAGGTATGACAAGCGTCGTCTTTTAAAAATCAAGTGTCATTTTTTTGGTAAAGACCTGGTTGTTTTGAGAAAAACCGTCGTCTATTATATGTAAAGATAACAATTTTTATACAAACCGTCGCCTATTATATGTAAAGATGACGCTTTTTATAAAAACCGTCGTCTATAGTATGTAAAGATGACGCTTTTTATAAAAACCATCGTCTATTGTATGTAAAGATGACTCTTTTTATAAATCGTCGTCTATTGTATGTAAAGATGACATTTTTTATAAAAACCGTCGTCTATTGTATGTAAAGATGACTCTTTTTATAAATCGTCGTCTATTGTATGTAAGGATGATGCTTTTTATAAAAACCGTCCTCTATTGTATGTAAAGATTACGCTTTTTATAAAAAATTTGTCTATTATATGTAAAGATGACGCTTTTTATAAAAAAGAGGTCGTCTATTATATGTAAAGATGACACTTTTTATAAAAACCGTCGTCTATTGTATGTAAAGATGACTCTTTTTATAAATCGTCGTCTATTGTATGTAAAGATGATGTTTTTTATAAAAACCGTCGTCTATTGTATGTAAAGATGACGCTTTTTATAAAAACCGTCGTTTATTGTATGTAAAGATGACGCTTTTTTAAAAACCGTCGTCTATTGTACGTAAAGATGACGCTTTTTATAAAAATCGTCGTCTCTTATACGTAAAGATGATGCTTTTTCTAAAAAAAACCGTCGTCTATTATATGTAAAAATGACACTTTTTATAAAAAAAACCGTCGTCTAACAATTAAGAGTTTATCTATACTTTCGTTAAATATAACATAAGATTTTGTGGTATCCACTAGTATAAATATTTTAAATTGAAGAAAAAATTCAGTCATTGTATTCATATAGGGTCAAGGAGTGTAGCTGTAAAAAATCATCAAAATCGGAGTTAAAATAACCTTTAATTCATGATTTTTCATTTATAACAATTGAAATTTTTTGTCTCGTTACTTGATCTCTAAATGTTTATTTTTTTCGATTTTTGGCGTATATGATCTCGAAGTATAAACAAACAACTTTGACGGTTGGATCGTTGAAACTAGTTTCTTAGAATGTGTATGCCATCAAAACAATATATTCACTAACAATTAAGAGTTTATTTATACTTTCGTTAAATACAACATAAGATTTTGTAGTATCCACTAGTGTAAATATTTTAAATTGAAGGTCAAATTCAATTATTGTATTCATATAGGGTCAAGGAGTGTAGCGGTAAAAAATCATCAAAATCGGAGTTAAAATAACCGTTAAATGATGATTTTTCATTTATAACCGTCGAAATTTTTTGTCTCGTTACTTGATCTCTGAATGTTTATTTTTCCAATTTTTGGCGTATATGATCTCGAAGTATAAAGAAACAAGTTTGACGGTTGGATCATTGAAACTAGTTTCTTAGAATGCGTATGCCATCAAAACAATATATTCACTAACAATTAAGAGTTTATTTATACTTTTGTTAAATATAACATAAGATTTTGTGGTATCCACTAGTGTAAATATTTTAAATTGAAGATCAAATTCAGTCATTGTATTCATATAGGGTCAAGGAGTGTAGCGGTAAAAAATCATCAAAATCGGAGTTAAAATAGCCGTTAAATGATGATTTTTCATTTATAATCGTCGAAATTTTTTGTCCCGTTACTTGATCTCTGAATGTTTATTTTTTCCGATTTTTGGCGTATATGATCTCAAAGTATAAACAAACACGTTTGACGGTTGGATCATTGAAACTAGTTTCTTAGAATGTGTATGCCATCAAAACAATATATTCACTAACAATTAAGAGTTTATTTATACTTTCGTTAAATATGACATAAGATTTTGTGGTATCCACTAGTGTAAATATTTTAAATTGAAGATCAAATTCAATCATTGTATTCATATAGGGTCAAGGAGTGTAACGGTAAAAAATCATC